GGGGGGGGGGGGGGGGGGGGGGGGGGGGGGGGGGGGGGGGGGGGGGGGGAGAACAGACCAGGAGTTCAAGGCCATCCTTGGCTACAAGAGGTCCTATATCCAAAAACAAACACAAACAAACAAAGAGACTGGAGAGACAGGTCAGCAGTTAAAGAGTTAAAGGTTCAGTTCCCAGCATACATGGGGGGCAGCTCCCAAATGCTTGTAACTCCAACTTGTACAGGCACTCTCACGTGTGTGTGTGTGTGTGTGTGTGTGTGTGTGTGTGTGTGTGCGCGCGCACCTCTGTGAAGGGTTCTCATCCTCTGACCTAACCAACCTGTCCCCCTTCCACAGCCCCCCCTTGCCTTCCCTGGCACCCACAACCTCACCACCCATACCCCTTGTGTGAATATGCTTTAAAACACCCCTGGCTGGATGCATTCCAATGTCTACCAATCCCCAATCACAAATCTTGTCTCCTTCGGTCTGCGAAGCCACCGCGGCTTTCCTGCTAGGAACCACTTCTTAGCCCTGATGCCAGCCTTCCTTTGAAGACCAGAGAAGCACGGTGGCTCAGGAGGCAGAGGCTGGTGGATCTCTGTAGGTCCCATCCAGGCCAGCCTGGTCTACATAGCAAGTTCCAAGCCAGTCAGGGCTACATAGTGAAACCAACGCAAATAAAAAAATAAAAATAAATAAATAAAATGTAAAAGAGGCTGAGAAAGGAAGGCTCCTGAGAGTTGGAGACCAGCTTGAGCTACAATACTGACCCTGTCAGAAGGCAGGCAGGCAGGCAGCTTGACCAACAGCCGGGCACCAACCTGATAAACATGCCTGCCTGCACACAGCTCTGCATCTACCCACTTTTCAAGGAAGAAGAGTAGGGGAGCTGGGTTCAAAGCCCTTCCTATCCCCAACACCATATTCCCCCACCTCTTTTACCAACCAGGTTACAAACCACTTTGTCTCTACTTCCCATAAGCCTGTTCGTTCGTACGTACCTCCCTGAAAGTGACACGTAAGGCCTCCCCCAAGTCTCGGAGTGTTTCACTCTGGGGTCCCACTGCCCACCCCGACTCCAGTCATTCTGGCCACCTCACCCTCCTGCAGTCTTCCTGAAGCCCTCGCGCTCCTCCAGCCCCTTGCACTGCGTCTCCCAGAAGGGGCTTTGGGTCTCGGGTGCGCTGAGCTTACTCAAGCTGGCAAGGAGGTCACCGCGGGCCCCGGAGCTGTGCAACCCTTCCCGATGCCACCCCGACTCAGCGGCTTACCCCGTGCAGGTGGAAGCCCTCGCCGCCCGCCGGCTGCTCCGTGCTCGCCCCTAACCCCATGGCCGCCCTCTCGCTCCGCTGCGTGGCTTGGTCACGTGGGTCAGGCCACGCCCTCCCGGATGTCACAGCTCTTAGCAACAGGCCGGCTGCCAGGTTACCAAGGACGCGCGCGCCTCGGACTTCCGGCTGCGAGCCGGGTCGCGAGTTGGGCCGCCAGATCTGGGAATCCCGCTCAGCCAGGCTTCAGCTGAGCCGGGCTGCAGCAATGAGCAGCGATGACTCCTCCCTCATGGTGCGTGAGCACTGGGCCGCCTGTGCCCGGGCGTCTTCTGCTGCCAAGACAGCTTTGCCCTGGCCTGTCCCTCTGCCCTCTGGCCATTTCTGCTCTGGGGCCACCTCTTTGCTCCGGGGCCACTTCTCCCTGGCCATTTCTGCTCCGGGGTCACCTCTCCGCTCTCTGATCATTTCTGCTCCGGGGCCACCTCTCCGCTCTCTGGCCATTTCTGCTCCGGGGCCACCTCTCTCCTCTCTGGCCATTTCTGCTCCGGGGCCACCTCTCCGCTCTCTGGCCATTTCTGCTCCGAGGCCACCTCTCCGCTCTCTGGCCATTTCTGCTCCGGGGCCACCTCTCTCCTCTCTGGCCATTTCTACTCCGGGGTCACCTCTCTGCTCCCTCCTCATCTGCGCTTGGCCCTCCTCTGCCTGACTACACGCCCTGCTACCCTCAGGCCATCTCTACTCTTGGACACTTCCAACCCTAACCATCCCTACCCCTCTGTCCACTCCTCTGACAGCATCAATGAGTCGTCCTATCTTCCCCAACTCCCTAGCCAATGTATTGCTTCCTGTGTCCTCTGTACCCCTCAAATTAGCACCCTGACCTGCCCCTGTCCCCTGTGCTCCCCAAACTAAACCCATATCCATTATCCTGTCATATCCTCCTCTTAGCCTCCCTCCCAAGCCTCTCCCGTGTCCCGGCCCTGTCTCAGTAGATGCTATGAGCTGTTACTCTCTTCTGTGTCCACCTCTCAACCCTAGTCCTAACCCAACAAGTCAGATGTCTCCAAGGTTCCCCTATTTGATTTTATTTCCTAAGCCAGAGCCGCCATGTCTCCCCTAGACACCCCTAACCTGGTTTCCCTACGTTGACTCGTTTCTTTAGAATATACATTTGAGGTGCCTGGAGCCATAGCTCAGTTCCTAGAGGAGGTACCAAGCCCTGGGTTTGATTCCTACCACCATACAAAACAGGTCTGGTGGTATCTGCTTGAAAACCCAGCACTTGAGAGGTGAGGAAGGAGGGTCAGGAGTTCAAGGTAATCCACGGTTAAGTAGCTGAGTTTGGTGCCAGTTTGTCAAAAGGAGACTCTGTCAAAACAATCTTAAAAATCTGAGAGCACTACTCCCCTGCTTAAACCTCCCAACTGCTTCCTCTTTGGTGCCCTGAGCTGATGTCTAGGCTCTTTCAAATGGCCTGTGAGGCTTTTGCGACCCAACCACATCTATCCTCAATTCAACACCCACAAACCTTAGAGGAAGTGAGACTTGACTTTGAAATCTCAGTGTGATCTCTGTGGAGCTGTATCTCCCTGGCCTTCAGCTTCTTTGACTACGACGATGATGGACATAGAGCCCATGACAACGGTCCCTAGCTTGTCCCTGCAGCTATTCCTACATTCGTTCCAATTACTGCTCCGTACTCCCCTCCCCCCATAACAAGCCTGAGTTTGTTTACATTGCATCTTAGCCAGAATCTGTTGCCACCGCCCAATCACCTATAAACTCTGTCCTACAAAAACTACCTGGAGCGACTCCCGGGGCTGCAGAAGGAGAAGGCAAGGCCTGGCTGTTGCCTTTCCCTTCCTGAGTGTAGAACTGAAGAGGCCTGCCTGGGTCAGAACAGAGACGGGGGACCCATGCTATTCCAACCATGTCTTCCTCATAGGCTTCGATCATTTACTACAGCCAGGAAAAGTACTTCCACCATGTGCAGCAGGCTGCAAGTGTGGGCTTAGAGAGGTACAGCAATGACCCTGTACTGCAGTTCTTCAAAGCTTATGGAGTTCTTGGGGAAGGTAAGGCCTTGCGCTGACCCCGGGTACCATCCTTGCCATTATCCTCTGGCAGCATCCCGATGCCTAGTTCCCATGGAAACAGCCTCACGCTACCCGCAGAGTCCTGCTGATAACCAACCCGTGAAGTCCGTATTCAGGTTGGATTTTGAGACCTTGGCTCACTGTACCTGCCATGAGCCTCAGTTTCCCTATCTGCAGAATGAGTTGTTTGAGAGGGGGCTACATGACTTGAATTCTCCTCGGGCTCGGAAGCTGAGAGCTGGAACTTCAGGAAAGAAGTGGGAGGCTTGAGCACAGGAAAGCGGGGCATAGACGTGAGAGGGAGGGACTTAAACAGCCCAGACGCTGAGACCTGTCTGAGCAGCCTGTGGCCCATGTTGGGGACATTCAGGGTAAATGGAACTGAGAATGCCCTGTCCCTCTTCAGAACTGACTCCAGTCCCCTAGGGTTCCCAGGTTCATTCTACAGCACACCTCCGGGTTCCAAGGCTCTTAGCCGGTGGGCCAGGCGTAGTGACGTGTGCTTGTCCTAGCACTAGGGAGTTCAGTATTATCTTAGGCTACACGTCAAGTCCCATGCCACCTGACATACATGAGGACCTTTCTCAAAGACAAAATACAAAGTGGGGGTTAGAGACGATGGCTCACCAGTAAGGAGCACTTACTAGACCGATCGTTGATGGTGCACACCTTTAATCCCAGCACTCGGGAGACAGAGGCAGGCGGATCTCTGTGAGACTGAGACCAGCCTGGTCTACAGAGTGAGTTGCAGGACAGCCAGGGGCTACACAGAGAAACGCTGTACCAAAACAAAACAAACAAACAAAACCCAAGCCACCTAAGGTCATCCTCTGGCCTCCAGTCACAGACACACACACAGACCTCCCCTTGCCAGCCTGGACCACAAAGCCGATGGCCTTCAGAGAGTTTCACCCTCCAGAAGTGTGGGTTCTTGGGGACCTTTCAAATCAGTCTGTCCCTAGATTGTGTGTATGAACGCAGGCAGCACTTACCTAACAGGGGTCCCCTGTTGTCTGTCTGGGACCCCAGTGTATAACGCCCTTCCTACAGACCATATCCATGATGCCATCAGTGAGCTGGAGAGCATCCAAAGCCACCCAGATATGTCCCTGTGCTCTGTCATCGCTCTGCTTTATGCTCACAAGTGCTGCGACACCATTGGTGAGTGGACCGGGCCCCTAGGGGGAAAGCCACTGCACAGACAAAGCCCTTGGAGGGCTACTGAAGGAGGGGCATATACCGGGCACTTGGATCTGCTGTTAGTCAGCCAAAACAGACCTTCCCTCATGCTCACCCAACAGGCCTCAGAGAAGACCTGATGCCCAAGATTCTGAGAGAGAGATAGAGATAGATAGATAGATAGATAGATAGATAGATAGATAGATAGATAGATAAAGAGAGAAAGAAAGAAGAGAAGAGAAAGCCGGGTGATAGTGGCGCACGCCTTTAATCCCGAGTAGGCAGATCTCTGTGAGTTCGAGACCAGCCTAGTCTACAAGGCTAGTTCCAGGACAGGCTCCAAACCACAGAGAAACCCTGTCTCGAAAAACCAAAAAAAAAAAAAAAAAAAAAAAAAAAAAAAAAAAAAAAAAAAAAAAAAAAAAAAAAAAAAAAAAAAAAAAAAAAAAAAAAAAAAAAAAAAAAAACGAGAAGAGAAGAAAAGAAAGAAAGCCAGCCATTCTAAATAATTGTGCATTGTGCTTTTAATCTCGAGTCTCTAGGTCAGAGAGAAGTGCCAATGTAGACTCCCATCTCTCGCTCAGGATAGGGCATGGACCTCATTTAGGGATTCGGGCTCAGTTGGTCTGCTCAGCACACCGATGAATGTGGGGTGGGGAGGGGTGCCTTCCAGACAGTAAGCTGAGCCCACGCGTACACACTCCTGTGGGGCAGTCGTCACTGGTGCAGATGAGAACCTCTTGGTCTCCACTCAGCCTCTTTCTCTTCTGGATGTAGACAGAGAAGCAGTTCAGGAGTTGGAGAGCAGCTTGAAGGAAATCCGCAAGACGGCCAGCGACACTGCCCTGTACTACGCCAGCCTCTTCCTCTGGCTCATAGGCCACCACGACAAGGCCAGGGAATATGTTGACCACATGCTGAAGGTCTGCAGTGGCTCCAAAGAGGTACGAGAGCATCTTAGGGCCACAGCCAAGCAAAGCAGTATCCAGACACATCGTCAGGGTTACTCCCTGAGAGCCCTGGGACCAGGGCCACATCCGGGCACTGAACCTCACACCTGTACCTTGTCTAAAGCCACGTCACATTCGTGCGCAGCGTCCTGTTTCTAGACTGCTTTCCTATGGCCTATCTTTTTTTTTTTTTTTTTTTTTTTTTGAGACAGGGTCTGTGCATAAACTTTTCCTGAGAGACACAAACAAGCACACTCTCACCCATCAAGGACAGACCAAAGTACCAAATCCTCTGAAGTCCAACTTGGTAGAACAGTGAGTCTATTGAGCTTGACCCCAAAGCAGCCACACAAACCAAAACAACCTCACCACAGCCTGAATGACCAATCTCCCATAACCGCATAGATGGAGTCTCTCTTGAAAGGATCCCCCCCAATATGTACCTTAGCACCTCCCATAACCACAAGGCCACCTGTAATTAGGGCAAAATGACATGCACCCAGCAGTGAGGTGCAAGCTGGTCTACATGAGGCTCCCAACCCCTTCTGTGAGCAAACACAACAGCCTTGCTCTTGAGAGAAGCACTTACAGCTGCTTCTGGTGATGGTGGCACCGGCTGTTGTACTCAAAGCCTGACCCTGCAGCTCGACAAGTTTGTACATAGTTCACACTGTAGCCAGGGATAGCCTTGAACTTCTGCTCCCCTGCCTCCACCTCCAGAGTGCTGGAGGTGCACTCATCCAATGCTGGGAATGAAACCAAGGCAGGCACCATGCCGTATGTACCCATCCCAATACAACATTTTTTTTATTTTTTTGTTTTGAACTTATTTTTTATGTGTATGGATATTTTGACCACTGTTATGTCCGTGCACCATGCTAGATGCCTGGGACTAGAGTTACAGATGGTTGTGAGCTACCATGTGGGTCCTGGGACTCATACCAGGGTCCTCTAGAAGAGCAGGCCAATGCATTTAACTACTAAGCCATCTCTCGAGCACCCTCTGCCACCGTATTCTTTAAATATCCTGAATTAGTCGCTGACATGTAGAAAATCAGATGATTTGGCCAGCAAGGTGGCTCAGTAGGTTAAGGCATTTACCACCCAGCCTGGTGACCTGAGTTTGATCTCTGGAACCCGTATGGTGGCACATGTGTGAACACACGCATACACACACACATACTAATATATACATACATGAATGTAATAAAACACTTTAAAGAAATCATAAAATGTAAATAGGCAATCAGGCATGGCATGATGGTAGCACCTGAGAGGCAAGCAAGAAGCCAGTCTGGGCTATAGGGCAAGACTCTATCTCAAAAGGAAAGAAGCAAGAAGGGAAAGTCCAGGTTCCCTGGTTCTTTTGAAAACCCAAGTGAGCTGTCAGGCACCCTGGGCTCTGCCCTCTCTGCAGTGTCTTGATGGACCTGAGTGGTCAGTACCTCATGTTGGTGCTGATGCTGAGACTGGAAGCCTTTTAGGCTTTACATTCTCGGAAACCTCGTAGCAATGTTCACGAGTGTAAGCCTTCGTCCGTGGGGAGGGGTGAGTACTGACATGTCTGGAACAGATGCACTGTGCGCAGCTCTAGAGGGAGTCACTGTCTCCTTAGGAGAGAAAAGAGAAGCATGCCCTGGACTATCAAGGGGTGCTCCAGGCCGGGATTTACCCAAGTGCCCCTCTCCTCCAATGCTGCTTCCCAGGCTTAGCCCTCCCAGTGACTGGAAGAAGCTGTGTGCTGGTCGAAGGACCAAGAGCAGCCCCGCCCTAGCCCCAGGGCTGATGACCTGACTGTGGTGACCAGTCCCTGCAGATACGGGAAAGGGGCCTGAGTGAGGAGCGACAGAGAGCTATGGGGTGTGGGGAGTGGTGGGGAGGTAGGAAGGAGAGGTCCCTGGGGAGCGGGGAGCTGCCAGACTAAACCGCGAGTCCTTAGGAGATGGATGCGGACTGATTTGGAAGGTGAGAGGCAGCAGGATGTCACAGGCAATGCAGGCAGGAGTGACCACCCAGCAGAGGAGGTAGCCCCCTGGGATCTGCACGAGGTGATGCCCAAGATGGTAGAGGGCGGGAGGGAGCTAGCTCGGGTAGAGGCTGTGAAGGACCCGGACTTTCACCTTTCCCGCTTGTTCTCCCCAGGGCTATGTGCTCAAAGGCTGGGTGGACCTCACCTCCAATAAGCCCCACGTCGTGAAGAAATCCATCAAGTACCTGGAACAAGGAACTCAGGACACCAAAGATGTGCTGGGGCTGATGGGCAAGGTGGGCAGAGGGAAGTGGGGGAGTCTCTGGCTGGCTCACTAGAGCCAGAGAGCTGCCAGGTGAACTCAGGCCAGATCCGAGATGCAGGCCCAGAAAGGGGCAGCAGTCAGCCCACGTCACGCCAGTCCAGAGCCCACTCATCCTTGCTTTGTGTGGCAGTCCTCATTCTGTTCTGTGTTTTGGATGCTAAGGAATTGGGCGCAGGGCTTTGCACGCACTAGGCAAGCCCTCTGTCACTGGGCTACATCTCTAGTCCCTATTTGGTGTCTTGAGATAGGCTCTCGTGTACACAAGGCTGGCCTTGTACTCACTATGTAGCTAAGGCTAGCCTTGAGTTCCTGGCCTGGCAGTACCTTCCTCAGTTTGCCTGGGGCTGGGTCAGGCCGCCTTCCTCTTGGCCTCTTCCACCTCTGACTTTCACTCCTCCCATTCCTACCCCCATCCTCCCCACACTTGTTAGTGACTTAGCAGCCACAAGAAAAGGGAGGCATGCACTCTGCCCGTTTTGCATTTCCTGATCTTAATTTGAATGAATTTTTTTTTATTTTCCTTTGTGACACTCATTGGCTCCGTCTTTGAGAGAAGAAAACTGATGTCTTACTATCTTTCTATGTGTCTGTCTGTCTGTGCTTACAAAATGACTACATCGTCATTAGATCACAGAGGGACAGGAGGGACTGGGAGACACCACCAAGCCTGGATAGAACCCAGGGACTCACCCATGCTAGGCAAGCACTCTGCCAACTGAGCCATCCCAGCCCTCAAGCCTCTCTGGAAGTCCTGCTCTGGCCCTCAGAGCTCCTGGCGGGACACCCCAGGGGAACGGTGACTAACACTGAGTCCCCAGTCACACAGAATGAACATCTTCCCAGCTGGCTACCTGACAGCTGGGTCCCTACAGTTAAACTCTGGGTCTTTGGGCTCTAGGCGGGTCAGAAGGATCTGGACTGCCCATCCTGCCCCCCATCCCCTGAGGTTGAACCTGCCCCTGCATCACTGGTGGGGGCTCTTCTCTCGGGCTCCCACAGGCAACATACTACCTGATACAGCAGAACTTCTCCGGGGCCCTGGAGGTGGTGAACCAGGTCACTATGGCCTCAGGGAACTTCCTGCCGGCCTTAGTCCTGAAGATGAGGCTGTTCCTGGCTCGGCAAGATTGGGACCAGACAGTTGAAACTGGACACAGGTGAGGGAAGAGCCACGTGCCAGGCCTCCTGCCTTTTAGGTATTCTGGGGTGCCGGGGATGGAACCCAGGGCCTTCTTCAAGCTACAGAAGCACTCTATCACAGAGCTATAGCCTCAGCCCTCTTATTTTGAGACAGGGTCTAAGTTGCCCAGACTGGCCTTGAACTCATTCTGTGGCCTAGGCAGATCCTCCTGCCTCAGCCTCCCAAGTAGCTATGATTATAGGCTTAAGCCACCATGACTGGCCTGTTTTTCACATTTGGTTTGTAGTCTAGGTTGTTCTGACGTAGCACAGGCTGGCCTCAAGCCTATGGCAATCTTCCTGCCTCAGCCTCCCAGGTGCTGGAGTTACACCTGGCTTGGTTTTCTTTTTCTTTTTTCAAATTTTGCTTTGCTTGTTAATTATCACCAACATCGCGAATGTGTGTGCAGAGGTCAGAGGACAAGTTCCCGGAGTCGGGTCTCCCCTCCCACTGTGTGGATCCGGGGGTCAAACTCAAGTCCTCAGGCTTGTGCTAATGCCATACCTACTGAGCCTTCTCTCTAGATTTAGGTTTAATGCTTTTGAGACAAGGTATCACAATGAAGGCCAGACTGTACTTGAACTCAGTGTCCTCCTGGCTCTGCCCCCAAAGTGGCTCCTGTTACACTGGGGGGGGGGGGGCAAGATGAGGCAGAGAAGCTGTGAGTGGTGACAGGGTCGGCTTCCAGGGCAGAGGGGTGAGGACAGCAACTGAACATTGACTCATTGCATCTTCCTGGGTCCTGACTGGAGGAGTGTGTTGTGGATTATTATTTTAACTAGACAGAGATGTGTTATATTTGTTTATGCCACAGAATATTACTTTACTGTGTAAAGGTGTGTTACTTTTGTTTGTGCTGCATTTGTTTAATTATGTAAAGATGTGTTGCTGTTTCGCCTTGCCTGCCTAAGGCACCCGGTTGGTCTAATAAAAAACTGAATGGCCAATGGCTAGGCAGGAGAGAGATAGGCAGGGCTGGCAGGCAGAGAGGATAAGTAGGAAGAGAAATTTAGGAATGAGAGAAGAAGGAGAAAAGAATAAGGGAGAAAGAGAGGGACATGCCTGGGGCCACCAGCCAGACATGGAGACAGCAGGAAATGTAAGATCTATATAAGATATACAGGAAGGAAGGAAGGAAGGAAGGAAGGAAGGAAGGAAGGAAGGAAGGAAGGAAGGAAGGAAGGAAGGAACAAAGGAAGGAACAAAGGAAGGAACAAAGGAAGGAACAAAGGAAGGAACAAAGGAAGGAAGAAAGGTAAAAAGCCACAGACAAAACGTAGATAAATAGAAACAGAATAAAATAAGAGCTAAGATAAGGCCAGGCATTCATAGCTGATAAGAAGTCTCCATGGACCCAAAAGAAAGCCTGGTATAGGGGTGAGGAAGGGGGACAGTTGTTGGCCTTGTGCAGACAGAGCCACCAAAATGAGGCACAGTGACGGCGTGGGAGCAGCTACCGTGAGGACCAGCAGGCAGGCGCCACCACGGTTGTTCTTTATTAACTTATGCATGCAGGTGTTGGTCTGCATGTATGCCTGGTGCCTGAAGCCTAAAGAGCGCATCAGATCCCCTGGAACTAGAGTTAGAGATGGTTATGGGTCATTGTGTGGGTGCTGGGAATCAAACTTAAGTCCTCTACAAAAGCAATTAGTGCCTAATCCACTGAGCCATCTCTCCAACCCTTCAATTTCGATTTTTAAACCATAGTTTAATGAGGGGCTGGAGAAATGGCTCATAGTTTAAGAACACTGATTGCTCTTGCAGTAATCTCTCTCTCTCTATCTCTCTCTCTCTATCTCTCTCTCTCGTGTGTGTGTATGTTTTGTGTGTGTGCAATCTCACATGTACCATGGTAAGTGTGGAGGTCAGAGGACAGCAATGTGGAGTTGACTTCTCCTTCCACCCTTTATGTGGGTCCTGGGGACTAGGGAGAGAACCCCTCTTGTGTGGCAGCTGCCTTTATCCCCTGAGCCACCTAAAAGTTGTGTTGCTTTGCTTTGTGGTTTTGGCTTCCAAATGGAAAAACAGCAAGAGCTCCTGCCTTGGGGTCTCCATGCTTTCGGAGTCATTAGCGCTGGCCAGACCTCTTTCAGTGTGGGTTACCCCAGTCACATTGCAATTTTGTTGTTAATTTGAGTAACCCTGAGCTAAGTGTGAGCTAAGTGTGGTGGCATACACCTGTAATCCAGCTCTCTGAGTGTGGAAGCAGAAGGATTTTGAAGCCACCCTGAGTTACAATAACAACTGTAGCTCCAGCTTCAGGGGATCAAACAGGCATACACACATACATATAATTACAAAATAATAAAACTAAAATGAAAAGGAATGGCTCTTAAAAGACAATCAGATGTTTCCAATATCCCATCCTCGCTGAGCTGTGAACACTGTCAGTCGGTGTCCTTCTTGTCTGATTCCAGAATCCTTGAAAAAGACGAAAGCAATATTGATGCCTGGCAAATTCTAACTGTGCACGAGCTTGTGAGGGAAGGAAACACGGCCACGGTAAGTCACCCCACGGCTCAGAAGCTGAGCCAGGGACGGGTCTTCATACTCAGTGCTGAGGCAGGATGATCAGATACGAGGTCAGGTCAAGACCCCACCCCACCCCCACAGAAAGAGATGGAGGGAGGAGAGGCGCTGAGTGAGAAGGGAGCACCGGACAGACGGGATACAAAGAGGAACCCACTGTAGTCCCACCTCCACCCCAACTCTGGCTTTGCCTTTGGAATAACCAGAAATACACCATCCTTTGATGAAGACGGCAAAGCAGAAAATAAGGGGGTCACCGTAGGAGGAAGGAAGTTCTGGTTCCTTCCATGGGCAGAGTTCTGAGATGGGGTGACATAGAGGGACAGTTCGTACCAGCGGAAAACCCTGGACAGGCCTTCATCAGGCCTGATAGCAATAGGTCAGCATCTCGTGCCCCATCTACACCCCTATCTCAAGTTCTGGGGCCTCCCGGGCAAGCTCCCTGGCTACCCTGGCTGCGTACTTCTAATCCTGTCTCACTGAGGAGAGCAGCCCCAGCTGGGCTTCTTCCCCCCTTTTCTCCCTCTCTCTTACTTTCTGGATCTGTGTTGGGGACCAGCAGGGTGGGGGGCAGAGGGCAGGAGGGCAAATGCGTAGCGGTCAGAGGATAACCTGCAGGGTGTCCAACCTTCTCCTCCACCGTGTGGGTCCGGGTCTAGAACTCATGATGTCAGGCTTTCCCTCTGAGCCCCTGGTGTGGGCAGGAGAGTCAAATGCACAATGGAAGCTCCTGGGTGCTTCCTCTGCTGTGCTGGGGAGTCGGGACGGCAACACCCACTTACAGCACTGTAGAAGGTCCAGTGGAACAACAGGGGTGCCCTGTTACCCACATTTCAGAACAGAGCTGAGGACTTGACTGCTACAGGTTGCAGGCAGGGACTTAAGGGCAACCGTGTGGTCACTTAGAGCAACGACCTCTGCCTTGGTGGCGCTGTCAGGGCACCTTCCTCTCACACTCAGGGCAAGGGCCGGGGTCACCCCTGGAGGGAATGATGTCCCTTCAGGCTCCACTTGTGGGGCTTTGAAATAGTTTTGTTGTCTTGGTCATCTGGGACAGGCAAAGCCGAACCCCAGAGGGTGGCATCAGAGCTAAGTGTGGAGTGGCCCCAATCGCCCGTCTAATGTGCAGCCAAGACTGAAAAAAGTTCTGCGCAACTCTGGTTTTGTGTTTTGGGATTCAGTTTTGCTTTGTTCCATTTATAGACAGGGTCTGGGACTTCCTGTGTAGTAAGGATGTCCTCTCTCCCACCCCTGCTACCTCTACCTCCTGAGTGCTGGTATTACAGGTATGCCTGGTTATATGCTGTGTACCTCAGGGTTTCATGCATGCTAGGCAAGCACTCAACCACCTAAGGTATGTCCTCAACCCCCCACATTGTCTGTTTTGTCCCTGCAGGCCACCGATCATGTTAAAAATCTCATCAAGGCACTAGAGACTGGAGAACCCCAGAATCCCAGCCTCCACCTTAAGAAGATTCTTGTGGTCAGTAGACTGGTAAGTGGGCAGCATCTGGTTTCTGACCATGCCCCTGATGAGAGGACCTTGGCTTCTCTCTGTGCTCTGAGCACCCACCCCTTCCCCTGATAACAAAGACATAATATGACCAGATGTTCTCCACCAAGGTGCCCCACGGAGGTGCTACAGTGACCAGAGAGATGGGGTCTGAAGGGCTTCTAGAGTGATAGCTCAGCCATGGGGGAAGGTACCACTGCCTCTGCTATGCAGAACGAAGCCAGCCCTATTCCAGGATCCATATCCTCCTCATAGGAGTGACCTAAGGGACAGTCCACCTGGGCCTCTGGCATCGTGGCATCGAAGGTCCAAACAAAGTCGCCAAAGAACTTGTCTTTTGTAAGAACATTCACTCAAAAAAAAAAAAAAAAAAAAAAGGTTTACAGGAAAAACTAAGAATGAGGCCAACCCTGGGCTGCAGAGACCAAAACGGGGTTGCTAAGTGCTGCTGGGTGACTGTCCCCCTCCATGTGTGTGTCTAAGTTTCTCAGCTGTGTCCTTATGTGGCATGGGACATGATTCATTACAGCCACTTCCCATCACCAAACTCAAATAGCTTTTCAACAAGCTTTAGATAAAAAATAAAAACAGGGGCTGGAGAGATGTCTCAGTGGTTAAGAGCACTGGCTGCTCTTCCAGAGGACCTGGGTTCAATTCCCAGCACCCATATGGCAGCTCACAACTGTCTGCAACTCCAGTTCTTAGGCATCTGACACCCTCATACAGACATACATGCAAACAAAACACCAATCCATATAAAATGTAAATAAATAATCTATTTATAAATAAATATAATATAATACAAACCAATGCAGTACAATAAAACCCACAAAACCAAACCCCACCTTCTGGTAATAAGTTGGGAGTGGTGATGCCTATGATCCCAGCACTCAAAAGGTTGAGGCAGAGGATCAGGAGTTCAAGGCCAGCCTCAGCTACGTAGCAAGTTAAAGGCCAGCTTGGGCTACATGAGACCCTGTCACAAACGCAAAGCAACCTGTTGGTAACTACTAAGATCAGTTACTACCAAGTGGTGGTGGCACACACCTTTAACCCAGCACTCGGGAAGCAGAGGCAGGTGGGTCTCTGTGAGTTCGAAGCCAGCCTTGTCTACAGAGAGAGTTCCAGAATAGTCAGGATACAGAGAAACCCTCTCTCAAAGGAAAAAAAAAAGTCAGTACTGTGGCCAGCCAAGATGTGTTTGGAGGACACTATGACTGGAGGCAGGTTCCTCAGGAGATGGATAGCTAGCTACACACAGATCCCAGGGACCTCTTGGGCTCTCTGAGTCCTTCCCAGCTCTGCTGTAATGTCCCCACTTCTGGCGTTATCTTCACCCAGGCAGCTGGACTGACTCTCTTTTCCCATCTGTCCACTCTTGGCAGTGCGGGAGGCACCAGGCAGTCCAGCGACTTGTGAGCGGCTTCCTGGAGCGCATCTTCATGACCACACCTTCCTGTGCCCTGGTGGCCACAGAGTTGGGCTATCTCTTCATCCTCCAGCAGCAAGTGAAGGAAGCATGCTTGTGGTACAAGGAGGCCATGAAGCTGGAGGAGAACCGGCTGGCTGCATTGGCAGGTCTCCACGGGCCGGGCAGGGTGGTGTCCTGCTCTCAAGACTGTGTGTGAGTTTAGGGGGTACCGTCCTATGGGGATCTTCCAGTGAAGCCACCGATTTAGATGGAAGCCCAGGACTGATCCATGTTGTGGCTGGAGCACCCACATCCTACATCAGCAAAGATGGGCAGTTTGGCGTTTTTCCATGGGTGTTGGGTCTGCTGGAACTGGAATTATAGACAGTTGTGAGCTGCCATGTTCGTGCTGGGAATTGAATCTGGGTTCTCTGGAAAAGTAATCAGTGCTCTCTCTGAACCCTGAGTCATCTCTCCAGCCCCTGTGGAATACTCTGTTTTGTCCCTTAAGTAAAGGGCACAATCAGCTGGGTGTGTAGGTGTGCACCTGTCATCCCAGCAGGTGGAAGCCAGGGATCAAGAGTTCAAGGTCATCCCCAACTATGTAGAGCTTCGGAGGCCAGCCCAGGCTACATGAGACCCTGTCTCGAAAATAATGATCAAAAACAAGTTAATTACCCTAGTCTATAAAACAGGCAGACATGTCTTAGTAAGTGTTTGCCTGGCCAGTGTAAGCCCCCCAGTCCCTACTACACCACCACTATAAAAACAGTCACCCTAAAAGAAAAGAAGGGGGGGCTACAAATAGCAAATCCAGTGTGATTGAAAGAAACATCACCAACGTAAAGATATAAAAATATGTTTATTCCCCCTAATAATCAGGAGAATATGGATTAGAACCCATTCCTTTGGTCCTTTGACATTGTGTGTATACCTGAGAGGAGTGTACATGTGTGAGTGTGTGTATGCGCACGCACCCCCCACAGAGGTCAGAAGAGGGTGTTGGATCCCCCAGAGCTGGAGTTGCAGGCAGTTGTGAGCCCTCTGTTGTGAGGGTTGGGAACCTAACTCGGGTCCTCTGGAACATGTTTAAATTCTTAGCAGGGACGGCAAGATGGCTGAGTAGTAAAGTGGCCTCCTTCAAGCCCGACAGCCCGAGTTCCGTCTCGGGACCCCATAGGAGAGAGCCAGCTCCCACAGTTGCCTTCTGACCTCCACATGCACCGCATGGCACACGAGCTCACGCATGTGCTTGCACATACACAGTCTTGCCCATGCATGCTATGCCCTGAGCCCCTAAATCTGTAGATCTTCGGGTTGCATATTGCTGTGTGTACTTTAGTCACAAATACTTAGAAACCATGGGAAGGATTAAACCACACATGGTTAATGGTGCTTCTCACTGGAGCCATTGTTAAGCCAACACATGGATGGGGGATGATTCTCTCTCAGCCTTTCTGCTTCAGTTCTCTGCCCCACACCTGCCTCGCTCCTGCAGTTTGTGAAGATGTGAGGCGACCTCCTGCCTGGGCCCCTACTTTCCCGTCTCAGTCTGCCCCTGAATCTGCCCGGCGGCTGGCTCTGCTGCTTGCTCAGCTTCGTTCTTGTCCCATCTACAGGGAGCATCTGGTGCCAGATCTTGCAGGGCCAGCTGGAGGAGGCGGCGCACCAGCTGGAGTTCCTCAAGGAGGTGCAGCAGTCCCTCGGGAAGTCTGAGGTCAGAGCTAATAGGCAAGGATGGCTTCCCTATGGAGTCTCCAGCAGAGGGCGATCCCAGTGGCGGGCCGCACTGCTCGGGCCAGCCTCTGCTCCAGGCCCCAAACCTCTCTTCCACCTCTCTTCCACAGGTACTGGTCTTCCTGCAAGCCCTTGTGGCATCTAAGAAGCAAAAGCCAGAGCAAGAGGCCACCGCGCTCCTGAAGGAGGCAGTGGAGCTGCACTTCTCCAGCATGCAGGGCCTGGCCCTGAGCCCCGAGTACTTCGAAAAGCTGGACCCCCTCTTTCTGGTCTGCATTGCCAAGGAGTATCTGCATTTCTGCCCCAAGCAGGTTAGGGGGGTGACCCATCTTCTCGGCAGGGGCCTAAAATACAAGTGTGATTGGACAGAAACAAGGGCTTTACCTGGCCAGCCACCAAGCCCGGCTGAACTGTGAGGAAGCAGGCAGGAATCTAGTGTTTCTGTGGTGTTTATTTGATTTGTTTTTGAGACAGGGTCTCCTGTAGCCCAGGTTCGTCTCTACCTTGCTGTATAGCCAGGGATGACCTTTGAACCCCTGATCCTCCTGCCTTCACATCCTGAGAGCTGCCACCACACCCAGTTTATGGGGCACCAAGGATGGAACTCAGGGCTTCCACAAAGCAAGTGCACTATCCCCTGAGTGACAGCCCCAGCCTGTGCCAGGTCTTTTCAAACAGGAACGGGCTGAAGCCAGATCACCTCAGAGGCTCTTCTGGTGCAGAGCCGGATGTCCCAGGTGATGCGCAGTGTCCTCTCTCTCACAAGTTCCCAGGCCTGTCTGAAGCTGGGGCACAGGCTCCGTATTTGGGTGGGGCAGCACACCGGCTGGCCATGCACCTGTCCTTGTCCTGACAGGAGCTGTAATCCCAGCTCTCAGGCGGCAGAGGAAGGAGGGTTAGGAGTTCAAGATCGTCCTTGGCTGTACAGGGAGTTCAAGGCTGTCATGGGCTACATGAGACCCTGGGCAGAGGGGGGGGGGCGGTGGTAGGAAGAAGAGGAGGTAGGAGAAGAAATAAGGCAGCCACACATTTAGCCTCTGATCTTCCCACAGCCTCGGTCACCTGGCCAGCTTGTGTCTCCACTTCTTAAACAAGTCGCTATGATCTTGAGTCCTGTGGTAAAGGTAGCCCCAGCCATGATGGACCCACTGTTTGTGACGGCTCAGGTCAAGTTCCTCTCAGGTGAGCAGCGAACGCTAGCAGACACCTGGTGGAGCTTCTGCCTTAGGTTGTAGCCACAGGCTCCTTGCCTGGGATTCTTTTCCTGTTTGTATATGTGACACACACACGCATACCCACATACATACATACTTTCGTACGTACATACATACACACACAGAATACCGCTGTGAGGAAACTGGAAGGCCACGTGGGATAGGAAGAGTATTTCCATGAGGCCCCAGATGGCAAGGCTTTCACTGAGGCCACAGTCAGGTCTGCAGTCAGGTCTGCCAACTTCTCCCGTGTCCCAGTTTAGGCATCAGAGAGAGGAAAGGGAAGAACATTCCGTGGGCGGCCAGTTGTTCTCTGCGATACACAGCCCTTCCCTGAAGCACTTCGCTTAGGGCCTGCACCATCTCCCTGCCTGCGTAACCAACTATTCCCACGTCTCCCGCTGTCTCTACACTGAGGGCTTTCACTCAACTGAAGGCTCGTAAGACTTCGTCCTCAAGGCTCTCTGGGCCAGGTTTACTCATAGTTTTAATGTCTTCTGGGTCCAAGGCCAGGGAAGAAGAACTGTCCCAGAGGTGCTAGCAGCTACCAGCAGGTTTGGAACCAACGCTAAGTCTCTAAGAGGTGAGGTTGCCATGGTGACCTCTTCCTCTCCACAGCACACAAGAAAAGATGAGGGAGTTTGGGACCCAAAAAAGGTATACCCCAACCTACAGGTGATGGCTTCCAGGCAGCAGCTATGGAGAGGCCTGGATACAGAAGGAGAAAGTGCCCCTCCTAGCCCTCTGCACCCTGGCATTAAGCTGCCACTATCAAACCAGGACAGCCTGCCTGGCTTCAGAGGGGGCACCTAAGTCTAGTGTCAGGAGTTCAGACCTCCATGGGCTTGAGTTTAAATGAAGACTTTGACCCTTGGCTTACATGACTACATCCTGAATCCCATATCCAAAAGACAGTATGTCAAGGCCCAAGCAGGTATATGGCCTCATTAACATGCACGAGGTCCTAGGTTCGATTCCCAGAACCACGAAAAATAAAGATAAAATACAAGGGTCAGAAACAAAACTTACAGGGTCGTGCAGATGTTAAGTCTAGTCAGACTTTAACAGGCCTGCCAGGGCAGAGCAAGAGCTCAGTCATTAAAGCATGTTTCTTGTGATTTCAATGGCCTAAGCTTGATCCCTGCTTGTGATCCTAGTGCCGGAGAGGCAGACAGGGACAGGTAGAAGCCCGGGGTGGGCTGGCTGGCCAGCCTAGCCTGCATGCTGAGCTCCAGCCCAGAGACCAACCCTGTCTCAACACAAGGTGAATGGCTCCTGAGTTGGCTTCTGGCGTGCAACACACACACACACACACACTGCATATTCTCTCTCTCTCTCTCTCTCTCTCTCTCTCTCTCTCTCTCTCTCTAAAACTGGGTAAAATACCAACATTTGACAGAGATTTCTGTAAATACCAGATTTCCGAATGGCCACATACGTGAAACCCATTCTTCCTCTACTTGTTGGGTCTCGGGGGCTCCTAAAGCTCTTATTCAGGCTTTGGTTCTGTGTCCCTAGGAGAGCTAGAGAACTCCCAGAGCACCCTGCAGCGCTGCCTGGAGCTGGATCCCACCTTTGTGGATGCCCACCTCCTCATGTCCCAGATCTACCTGGCTCAGGGCAACTTTGCCATGTGTTCCCACTGTTTAGAGCTGGGTGTCAGCCACAACTTCCAGGTGGGAGCTCTCTACACTCTGCGGCCAATCGAACACCCCTTTCTGGACCATTGCTGGGGCGGGGGAGCATATAAAGGCATAGGAACTCTGCTAGCCCACAGGCAGGGCAGGCTCTTTGGTTCCCCCAGAGAAGCTTCCCAGGCTGCCGTGTGAGCAGCAGAGGTAAGCTAGCCCCAGTTCCGCTTTGCCTCTCCTAGGTCCGAGACTACCCCCTCTACCACTTCATCAAAGCCAGGGCCCTCAACAAGACTGGTGACTATGCCGAGGCCATAAAAACCTTGAAGATGATCGTAAAACTGCCCACCACAAGGGTGGAAGAAAGCAGGAAGAGCCGAGGCCCCTCCGTACGGCCCAGTGAGCGGGCATCCATCCTGCTGGAGCTAGTAGAGGCCCTCCGACTGAATGGGGAGCTGGTGAGAAATGCCTTGCATGGGGCTGGGGATTAGGTCATGAAAGCATCGGGACCAGAGTCCAGATTGCCAGGACCCCCAGTGCGTCTGAGGGTTCTAGGTTCAGTGAGAGAGACTGACCTTGATGATAAAATGATCACAGAGGATGATACCTGATGTCATTTTCTTCCCTGCTCATGCAAACATACGAGTGTGCACCTGCACATTCACGCCTCCACCCCCCAATGCCAACATGCATACACACATGCGTGCACAACAAACACATAGACATGCAACAAAGAAAAAACTGCTTTGCTCCCATTCCCTGGGCTGGGGCACATTGGAGGCCCCAGGAGACCAGCCTGGGGCCAAGCTCTGGTTTGGTTGAGACAGGGTTCTCTAATGTAGCTCCGGCTGTCCTGGAACTCACTATATATACCAGGCTGACCTCAAACCTGCAGAGATCCCCCTGCCTCTGCAAGAGGCAAGAGCAAGGCTTGGAGGAGCTGAAATCTGTATGATACCCTGGCCTCAGCAGCCTTGCCAGCTCACAGGATGCGGTCTGCCCTGGACCATCTCTGTGACCAAGGCCCATATCCTTCCCTTGTGATGCACCTGACTGAGATGGAAAACTAGCCTGAAAGGGTTTTTTTCCCCCTTTCAAAATAAAGGACTGTGAAGATGGCTCAGTAGGTAAAGTGTTTGCCATGGAAGTGTGAGGACCTGAGTTGGATCCTGGAGGAAAGGGGAGGTGCTGACCGATGTTTCTGTCCCACCAGGTCCTACAGCTTATTTAGTCCCAAATAAGCACACAGAGGTCTACATTAATCATAAACTGGTTGGCCTAGTAGCTCAGGCTTCCAATTAATTAATTCTTACATCTTACATTAATCCATTATTCTTGTCTGTGTTAGCCACGTGGCTTCGTACCTTTCTCAGTGAGGCAGTCACATCTTGCATCCTCTGTGGCTGGGTGACCACTGCAGACTAACTCTTTCCTCTTCCCAGAATTCTTCTGTTCTCATTGCCCCACCTATACTTACTGCCTGGCTACTGGCCAATCAGCATTTTATTAAACAAGTACAAGAATCAAGTCTTTACAGGGTAAAACCATTGTCCCACAGCAGGGAGGCAGCATGGTGGCATATGCCTTTAATCCCAGCTGTGGTGGTTTGAAAGGAAATGGACCCCAAGGGAGTGACACTAATGGGAGGTGTTGGAGTAGGTGTGGTCTTGTTAAAGGAGGGCTTCAAGGACTTACATATGCTCAAGTCATACCCAGTGAGACAGTTCACTTCCTGTTGCCTTTGGACCAAGATGTAAGGATGCTCAGTTACCTCTCTAGCACCATGTCTGTCTGCATGCTGCCTTGCTTCCCGCCATGATGATAATGGACTAGACCTCTGAACTATGTGAGCCACCAAAATTAAATGTTTCCCTTTATAAGAGTTGCTGTGGCCGGGCGGTGGTGGCGCACGCCTTTAATCCCAGCACTTGGGAGGCAGAGGCAGGCAGATCTCTGTGAGTTCGAGGCCAGCCTGGTCTACAAGAGCTAGTTCCAGGACAGGAACCAAAAAAGCTACGGAGAAACCCTGTCTCGAAAAAGCCACAAAAAAAAAAAAAAAAAAAAAAAAAGAGTTGCTGTGGTCATAGTGTCTTTTAACAGCAATAGAAACCCTAACTAAAGTCTGGAGAAATGGCTATGTGGTTAAGAGCTTTGCCTGCTCTTCCAAAGGTCCTGAGTTCAATTCCCAGCAACCACATGTGCTCACAACCATCTGTAATGAGATTTGGTGCCCTCTTCTGGCCTTCAGGGATACATGCAGACAGAACACTGAATACATAATAAATAAATAAATCTATAAAAAGAAACCCTAACTAAGACACTAGTACTGGAGAGGCAAAGGCAGGCAGATCTCTGTGAGTTCAAGGCCAATCTATAAACAAAGCAGGTTCCAGGACAGCCAGAGCTGTTACACAGAGAAACCCTCTGCTCAAAAAGTCATGCTTGGGGGTACATGACTATAATTCCAGATCGGGGGAAGTGGAGCTAAGAGGATCTCTGGGGCTCACTAGCCAGTCAGCCCACTCCAATGAGCAAGCTTCAGGGCCATGAGAGACTCTCAGAAAATCAAGAGGGTGGCTCCTAGGGATGACACCTGAGATTGACCCCTGACATGTGGTCACATGTGCTGGTATGCCTGCTCATGCTCGAGCATGCAGCTGTAACTCATACACACACACACACACAACTCTCTGGATAAATGTGTGAACATGGAAGCAAAACTATCCAAAGGAACACAAGACAGGTAGAGACAGATGCTCTACCTGTGCAGAACCAGGAACTGCCCGTCCAACGTCAGCTGACAGCGCAGCTGTTCCTAAAGCTAAGGGTTGGTCTGTCAGGTATCAGGAAGGGAACTGGGTGAAGGACAACAAACCCAGATGTTCCCACTGGGGACAGAGAGTAGAGGAGTGGGGCTGGGGACGGAGTGAGGCCCGGGATGGAGTGAGACAGCCCCCTCCCCTGCGCCCAGGAGCACAGGGACACCCCTCGGGTGGCCAGCTCCAATCCAGGCAGATAGAGGTCTCAAATGCAGCACATCTGCCTCCGTCCATCCTCGACTCAGGAGAACAAGCAGGGGATAAGCTGAAAGTCAGTTCTTCAGTCAGACAAAGATAGGGGCCGTGAGCTGTGAGCCCAGGGTTCTGCCCAACTTCCTTAAAAGGCACTCCCAGAGGAGGTTGCAGTCTGGGGCAACAGTGCCAAACAGTGTTCTCACTATAGCCTAGCACTTTGAGGTTTGGGGGTCTAGGGTTGTTTGACTTGGTTTTTTGTTGTTGTTGCTTGGTTGGTTGGTTGTTTTGTTGGTTGGTTGTTTAGTTTTGCTTTTGCTTTTTTAACTTTTAAAGTTGCATTTATTTATTTTTGTATATATGCATATATGAACATGTATGCATACATGCATGCATGCGTGGAGGTCAGAGAACAAATTTATGAGAGTTGGCTCCCTCCTCCCACCATATGCACCTGGGGATTGAACTGCGCAGCCAGCACCTTTACCTGCTGAGCCGCGTTGTCACCCCTTCACCAGATTGGCATGAAACTCATGATCCTCCTGCCTCAGCCTCTCAAGCGTTAGAATTGTGGGTGTTGGTCATCATGACTGGCCTCCCAGCGAAACTCCAGTGGAAAGGGTGTGGTTGGATGAGCTGTCCCCATTAGAGGAGGCACAATCATGACAGCAACATCTCTGTGTTCTAATGACCAGCCATTGCCTCCACAGCTGCACTGCAGGTGGCCAAGTATCTTCTTGGCATAGGTGCACCCCTGGGCTGGGACAGGAATGGAGGTATAAATGTCCTTGGGTCACCTGTAATAGATCTTAACAAAGAGAGGGGCTGTTTGGTCCTCCACCTTGTAGCACGAGGCCACCAAGATCATGCAGGATGCCATCAATGAGTTCAGCGGCACGCCCGAGGAGATGCGCATCACAGTCGCCAACGTGGACCTGGCGCTGAGCAAAGGCAACGTGGACTTGGCCCTGAGCATGCTGAGAGGCATCACGCCCAAGCAGCCCTGCTACACGGAAGCCAAGGAGAAGATGGCCAGCATCTACCTGCACACACGCAAGGACATGCACCTCTACATAGGCTGCTACATGTAAGCTCCACCCACGCGGCAGGCGGCTGGCATGCTTTCCCCTGGAGGCTGGGGAGGGTTCCCGCCTGTTATATGCCTTCAACTTGGTCTCCAGAGTGTATCCCCAGAGTGCATTAGACCACATTAGACATCGTAGGTCTCCCTGGCTGAGGGTGAGTTCCGAGGACCCTCAGCTCTTCCCCCGCGCTGTGTGTTTTACATTATGGTGGGAGCATATAGGTCCGGATCCCAGCACTGGTGCCAACGGAACCGTGAGAACAACTCACACCCTGGCCCTGCTCTCTGCCTTTCCTTGGTGCAGGGCCTCAGGAGTGATCAGTGTGGGGTGGGTGAGGAAAGCGTGGAAGTCGGAAGCACCGACCCTGACTCCTAGAATTTGGTATTGGAACCTCAAGAGGTCCTTCCCAGCCCCTTTCTCTGGGAGAAACTAGGCAGTCTGGGGCTCAAGGAACTGGGAGGGTAGGAACTGACCAACAAGGGATTAGACTTTGAGGGAAGCAGTGTGGGGCTGGGATGGAGCTCAGTGGCTCCCACCACCTGGGTTCCAACCCAGCATCTCAGGAAAAGGAAGTATAACTGGGGGTGTAGCCCAGTTATGGAGTGCTTTGCTTAGCATCCCGTTAGCTCTATGTTCAGTATTCAGTGTGACATAAGACCGGGCGGGGCGACCCGCCGCTCTAACCCCAGTACATGTGAGGTAGAAACTAGAGAACCAGAAGTTCAAAATCAGCCTGAGACATGGACCCTGGCTCAAAAACAACCAAGTCCAAACATGCAAAACAGTATGGCTGTTCATGGAGAAGACCAGAGGGCTGGGGTGGCCCTCGGCCATGATCCGGACAGACGGCGGGTACGAGCCTGGCTATTAGTGCTCTCCAGGATCTCTGGGACTCAAGATGATGAACGGATGGACACTCGCCAGGCCCAGGCCTGAGAGAGGAAGTTGGTTTCTCCTGTAGGGAGCTCTGTGAACACCTGCCTGGCCCCCACAGCAGCCTGCTACTGGGCGACGCTTTCATGAACATTCAGGAGGTAAGGAGAGAGACTCTCCGGGCCTTGCTAACTGGCTCCCAGGATCACTTCTCTGGTGAGAGGAGAGAAAGACAGCCCTTCCATACTTTCCCCACCAGCCTGAGAAGGCCCTGGAGGTGTACGATGAGGCCTATAGAAAGAACCCTCACGATGCCTCCTTGGTCAGCAGGATTGGACAAGCCTACATGAAGACCCACCACTACGCCAAGGTGAGGCTCCCCTAGGGAGGGCCAGCCACGCAGGGAAAGAGCTTAGAAAGCCCACGAGTTGGGGGTCTAGATGGGAAGGGACAGCCTTTCGCTCCAGCTTCCTGCTGAGAGCGTGCGGGGAGGGGGTGAGCAGACCAGTCTGCACTGTCTGCCCTCCCTGCTTCACCTGAGGCCTGAGCCCCGCTGGGAGGCGGGAATGGGGCGATCTGATGTGGTGGCTGCTGGAGGGACATGGTGTCAGCAACCCCCACTCAGAGCCAAGCTGAGGCCAGTATTTCCCATGTGCACGAAGGCCATTAATTACTATGAAGCTGCCCAGAAGATCAGTGGGCAGGACTTCCTGTGCTGCGAACTGGCCGAGCTGCTGCTGAAGCTGAAGAAATATCACAAGGCAGAGAAGGTGCTGAAGCAGGCCTTGGAACGAGACTCTGGTGAGGCGGCGTTCGAACTCGCTCCGACCCCTGTCCACATTAGCTAGGGATCTGAACCCAGCCCTTCCCACCAACCCAGGGGCCAGATTAGCTGACTGTGGGTGTCTCTCTCTAGGGGTCAAGGACATTCCATCCCTGATGAATGAGGTCAAGTGCTTGCTTTTGCTGGCAAAGGTTTACAAGAACCATAAAAAAGAGGATGTGGTTGGAACACTGAACCAGGTAACTGACCCAAGGTCTTTGTAGCTCCTGATGTCGGGGAGGAAGGAGGCTCAGCCCACGGGCCTGCCAGGGTGCAGACCTTCCTCAAGAGAGGCCCATCACCCTCTACTCACGTCTGAGAACCCTGGGCTGGGCTGGGCTGAGAAGGGCTGGGAGATAGTGACTTTGTCCTTGGGAAGAGTGAGGTGACCGTGGCGTGAGAGTGGCAAGTCCATGCATTGAAAGCTCTGTGAAGCTGTTTGTCCCCTCTTCTTCCCTCCCTCTGTCCCTTCCTCCTGCCCTCCCTAGCTCAGTACCTACCTTCCTTCTTTTAGAGACAGGGTCTTCCTAGTTTACCCAGCTAGCCTAGAGCTCTCACTATGTAGCCCAGGCTGGCCTTACGGTAGTCCTCCTACCTCAGCGGGCTGAGTGCTGGCATCCAGGGAAGCATCGCTATGTCCGGCTTCTCTGCTCTTTTTTAAGTTTTCACAGCGGTGCTTTGGGCTAAACACTATGGCATTCCCATCTGACTGAGAAAACCTCTCAAGGCATGAAGACTAAAACCCAGAGCTAAGTACAGATGTTTATGACTTGAGCTGATTTGGCTGAGAGTTCTAGAACTTTTCAGAACTGTAGGTTGAGTTCTGAATTTTTACTTTTCTTGGGCTAGAGATAGATGGCGCTCTACTGCCTGGCAGATGCTAGCAGTGGGAGCGAGCAACAGCTTCCAAGGGGCCACTTGCTGCCAGGCTTGCCCAATGCTCTACAGTGTTCTTCTTGCTAAGCTTTGGTGCTCAAGGCGTTCGGTACAGTCAATGCTGTTTTCTCCCAAGACAGGGTGTGTCTGTGTAGTCCTGGTTGCCCTGAAACTCACTTTGTAGACCAGGCTGGCCTCAAACTCAGAGGTCCACCTGCCTCCCAAGTGCTAGGATTAAAGACTTGCGTCACCACTGCTGGCTCTAGTCAATGCTGTTTCGTTAGATTTAATTTTATCAATATAATTGTTTACCTACACATATGTATGTGCACTGCATGCGTGCCTTGTGCCTGTGGAGAGCAGAACGGGGCAGTAGATCCCTTGGCACTGGAGTTATAGGTGGTTGTGAGCTGCCCAATTTGGGTGCTGGGAACAAAACACGAGTCCTCTACAAGAGCAGTGTGTGCTCTTCAGTGCTGAGCCATCTCTCCAGCCCAAGAATTTTGAATTTTTATTTTTTTCTGAAACAGCATCTCACTCTATAGCCCTGGCTGGCCTAGTACTTACTGTGTAGATCATTGTGGGTCATGACCCCTATGGGGGGTCAAATGACTTTCACAGGGGTCACCTATCAGAAAGCACAGATATTTACATCACAATTCATAACAGTAGCAAAATTTTTTTAAAGTATTTATTTATTTATTTATTTATTTATTATGTATACAATATTCTGTCTGTATCCTGCAGGCCAGAAGAGGGCACCAGACCTCATTACAGATGGTTGTGAGCCACCATGTGGTTGCTGGGAATTGAACTCAGGACCTTTGGAAGAGCAGGCAGTGCTCTTAACCGCTGAGCCATCTCTCCAGCCCAACAGTAGCAAAATTACAGTTATGAAGTAGCAACAAAAATAACTTTATGGTTGGAGGTCACCACAACACAAGGAATTTTATTAAAGGGCCGCAGCATTATGAAGGTTGAGAATGACTGACATAGACTAAGCTGGCCTTGAACTCAAAGATCCGTCTCTGCTTCCCAAGTACAGAGATATCACACCTGGACCAAGGCATCTTTTACTTGCATGTAAAACCTTACAATGGGTTTATCATAAGCCAAGGAGATGGAACTAAGATTGACGTCTGGCCTGTACCAACACATCTTCTTCCCATACGGGGCTGCCCTCATCCACATGCCCTTGGCCATTCCTGTCGGGCCTTCCTCACTTTCCACCTGCAAGAACAGGTTCCCACTTGTTCCCAGGGCAGAGCTCCCCCGCCTCTGACCACTTGAGGTACAGGGTTTCTCTGTGTGACAGTCCTGGCTGTCCTCTGCCTCCCAAGTGCTGGGATTAAAGATGCGCCTTCTGTCAAGCCCTGATAAGGTGCCTAATCTTGTCTACCACCCAATCCACTTATCTCTTTGTCCTTAAGGAGCCAACGCTAGTTCTCACGCACTTCTTGTGACTTGGCTATCTTTCCTGCTCCTCACCTCCTCCATTCACTTCTTGGATGCGAGAGAACTGCCTCATTTTCCAGAAGGGAGATAAACGCAGAGCAAACGTGTCCGTCAAAGCACAGCCCCGGGACATAGTTGAGTTGGTAGCAGGCACAAATGCCTTGGTTCTCCCTTCAGTACTACACAAACCAGGCATGGTAGCACAGGATCTTTGATTATATAATGAGTTCCAGGCCAGCATGAGTATGGAAGACCCTGTCTCAAACAACAATGAAAACCCAGCCCGGGGCTCTCCGGAGGCAGAAGACAATCTCTGTAAGTTTCAGGCCAGCCCCGTCTACATAACAAGTTCCATATCAGCCAGGACTACATAGTGAAACTCTGTCTCAAACAACAAAAAGCCAGCCTGAGCTTGGTTGGCACATGCCTTTAATCCCAGCTCTGTAAGGCAGAAACAGGACGGTCTCTGAGTTTGAGGCCAGCCTGATCTACTTAACAAGTTCCATATGAGCTAGGGCTACATAGTGGGACCTCATCTCAAAAACAAAGCAATAAACACCACTAGTAACAAATGCCCAGCCTGCTCTGGGCACCTACTGTATGTTGCTCCAGCCTGCAAGACAGCCCAAAGCAAATCGACACACAGCCCCAAGGTGTGGTGGAGGCAGGGCAGGCAAGTGAAAACAAGTTTGCCCTCCACTTCTGCTCCTCCTGGGAAGGGGGTGGGGGAACGGACAGGAGCAGGTGGGCTGGGGGGCAGTGCAGGCCTCTCTCCTGCGTGCTAAGGGAGTGACCCAGATTTCCTCAAGGTGCTCTTTCTGACATTGCCAGCTATAGAACACACTGGGAAGTCCTGTGGCCTGGCACCTGAGCTGGGGGTCTCTGACCCTAGCCTCACTGGTTCCCCCAGGCCTTGGACCTCCAGTCTCGGATACTGAAGAGGGTTCCCCTGGAGCAACCCGAAATGCTCCCCTTCCAGAAGCAGCTGGCAGCCTCCATCTGCATCCAGACCGGGGAGCATTACGTGACGGAGAAAGACTACGACAACGCCGTGAAATCCTACAAGGATGCCCTCTCCTACTCGCCAACGGACAACAAGGTGCGTGGCCCTCGAAAAAACACCGTGGGGGCCGGGGAGGTGGCCGGCACCTGCCTAGCACCCACAGAGCCCTGGCTTCAGTCACCATTCACTACAAACCAAGTAGGGTCGTACCCAACTGTAACCTCAGCCCTTGGAAGGTGGAGGCAGGACCAGGAGTTTGGGGTGGGTGTCCTTCTCTGAGCTGCTGCGGGTACAAAGCCAGAGGGGAGACAGGAAGGCCACCCCACTGGAGCCTCTGGGGCAAGAAGCATCTCTGGCTGACCCCAGACCCTCACCTGCTACCATTCTTAAAGCAAGGCTAGGAAGGCCAATTTGGGCCATTTATGAAGGATAGAATAGGGAAAGACAGCCCTGGAAGTCTCGTTGGCCTGGCCTTTGTCAGTTCCCGCTGGTGGGGGTGCCACTGGTGGGGGTGCGGGGTGACTCGTGGTTGCCAGGCTGCGTGGGAATCTGGCCCAGGTTGAGTTTCCAAGCCAGCTGAGAGTCGTGGCAGGGGTGTGGTGCCAGATGAGGAAACAGTTCACACTAAGTTCACACTCTTCTAAAGAGCCTGGACATTGGAAGAGTGACCTTGGTTTGGTGTCCCCTGTCTGTGCCCCCTCCTCCCGTACTACATAAAACTTGTCATCTCAGCACCTGGCAGGAGGCAGGAGGTCATCCTCGAGTACATAATGAGTTGGAGGCTAGCCTAGGATACATGACCCATGAAAGACATGTCTCAAAAACATAGTTAAACATATTGCATGAAAAAATAATAATAATAAAAAAATTAGCTTGGTAACTGTTCACCCTTTGACAGGCCTTGGTGACTGTGGGGTAGGGCGGGCATGACCCTTGCCTGAGATTGGCCTCAGGCAAGAGGAAAAGAGTAGCAAGAAGGAGATTCTAGCAAGTTGTCATCTGTCCAGGAATCCAGGACACAGAGGAGTCCCCAGAGGAAGCAGCAGAGGCCAAAGGATGAGATTAGTGGCTTAGCCAGGCCCCAGCTCATTCCGTTGGTAAAACCAACAGAACGGCAGGGGAACTGGGTGAGAAGGGAGGCCTGCTTTCAAAGTCAATAGACGCGGAGGCTCGGAGGGAGCCAAAGGTGACTGCAGCGAACGCGGAGCTGGCTTGTTTTCCTGTCTGGTCTCCGCACAGGTGGCGCTGGAGCTGGCTCAACTCTACCTGCTTCAGGGGCAGCTGGACTTGTGTGAACAGCGCTGTGGCCCCCTCTTACAGATGGAACAGACACACGAGAGAGCTGCGGTGGTAGGAGCTGCCTGTCATGCTGCGCACCGCCCAGAGGGGCCCCGCGACGGATTCCTAATTATTTAACCTCAGACAATTCACCGTCCCACCTTAAGAGCTTTGGGGCCCTGTCCCAGCCTCCAGCTCTGTCCTTCTTTGGGGGGGGGGGGGGCGGGGAGAGGCATGGGAAGGCCAGCAGAGGGCAGCAGCGTCCTCGAGGCTAGCTGGGGGCGGGGCACGATTGGACCAACTTCAGGGGAAACCACACCCCCTGTTAGGTGAAGGTGAAGGTCGGGTGACTGTGAAATCACCCTCCCTGGTCTGCCTTCTCCGCCTTGCGGGGTAGAAAGACACCTGCAGTCCTCCGGGGGCTCACAGGCTCTCCGGACCAGGGAGGCTACCTGGGGAGTCTCCTCCTTTCCTTCCCTGCCAGCCCCCACGAAGCCGCCCTTGTGTGTCTTCTAATAGATGCTGGCTGACCTGATGTTCAGAAAACAAAACTACGAAGCAGCCATCAGTCTCTACCGCCAAGTGCTGGAGAAAGCTCCAGGTACCCGGGGCCAGAAGACCACCTCCCCACCCAGCCAGGATGGCTATCCCCGAGAAGGGTGGGCCTTCTCCCCTCCTTCCTGGCTGGGCAGAGGAAGCCCCTTCCTTCCCAATTGTTCCCAGAGAAGCAGGAAACTGATAAAGACCCAGAACGTGGCAGCCCTTCCTGCGTCCAAGGGGGCCAGTTCCTGGACCCAGGCGCTTGGCACTGGAACCAGGACAGCCTGTCTGTCCCTATATCGCAACCACTGGGGCTCAACACAGTCCCCTCTATGGTCACACCCACCTGAAAGCCGGTAGGCATTCTCTCTAGGTTGGTTAGCCACACCCCTAGTTGCTACTGAATGAAACAGCAGCTTCAAGGGTCAAACCTGAAACCCAAGCCAGAGGCCCAAGCCTCTGTGGTCCCCACAGGCCAAGCAGTTGTGCTTAGCAGCAGAGTCTCCCAGTCAGGCTGCCTGGGTATGAAGCCTGGTATCGCTCAGTAGCCATGCAACCTTTAAAAACCTACTCACTCCTCCATGCTCTGCGTCCCCTTCTGTCGAAACGGGGACAGAAAGAGGGCTCAGCCCTGTAGTTAAATCACAGGTAGGACATCACAGAGCCAGGTAGGGGGTAAGTGCTGCTTCCGTGTGTGTGCGTGTGTGTGTGTGTGTGTGTGTGTGTGTGTGTGTGAGAGAGAGAGAGAGAGAGAGAGAGAGAGAGAGAGAGAGCCCCTAGAGGTCAGGGGACAACATGGGTGCCCTGCTCTAGCACCTTCATCTTGTTCCCTTGAGACAAGATCTCTCGCTGAACTTGAACTTGGAGATAGCCAGCAAGCTCCAGAAATCCTCCAAAGTCTGCCACGCCACACTTTGCTTTCCGATGGGTGATGGGGATTCGAACTCAAGTCCTCGTGTTTGCTCGGCAGGTGCCTTCCTGGCCAAAGCACGTCGATATTCTAAGCACTGTATGATTTGCTCACTTTTGTGTATACAATGTCTCTGCTCAGCCTAAACAAGTAGTGTCTCCTGAGACCTCCTCCAGGTCCAGCGCTCCCTCCTCCCGCCTCAGTCCTCAGAACACCAGCCTGGTGTGGTGCTGTCCACTGTATGCCGCAGATTTCTTCTCTCTCTCTCGCTCTCTCTCTCTCTCTCTCTAGACAATTTTTTGGTATTGAATAAGTTGATCGATCTGCTACGGCGGAGTGGCAAGCTTGAAGAGGCTCCTGCTTTCTTTGAACTGGCCAAGAAGGTGTCTAGCCGGGTGCCTTTGGAGCCAGGGTTTAACTACTGCCAAGGCGTTTACTACTGGTGAGTTAGCCTGGAGCATACTGAGGGGCCGTGGTAGGATAACAGGCCTCCCTAGCAGATAGTCAGGGTCTTGCTCAGCAGAGGAAAGCAGAGAGCAGCCTCCAGGAAACGCTCAGACCAGATATCCAGAGTGCCCCCCACGTGTCCACGCACCCTGGTCTCCACGCACCTTACACAGCTTTTCTGACCGACTCCTGGCGTTTCCTGCACTCTTTGTAGGCACATTGGACAGCCCAATGAAGCCTTGAAATTTCTGAACAAAGCCCGAAAGGACAGCACCTGGGGCCAGATTGCCACCTGCTACATGGTCCAGATCTGTCTGAACCCTGATAACGAGATTGTCGGTGGGGAGACCTTCGAGAGCCTGATGGCTGACAGCAAGTAAGAGGGCTGGGGTAAGCACGGGGTGGGGGCGCACAGGAAGGGGCCTCAGTCAGGCCCGGTGAGGGCCACAGAAGCAGGCTGTCAGCCCGAGCCCCATGCCTACAGCTCCACCAGTAGGAAAGAGTCCCAGCAACACGGGGTGCGCACGGCAGAGAAGCTCCTGCGGGAATTTTACCCGCACTCGGACTCCAGGCAGACCCAGCTGCGGCTGCTGCAGAGCCTCTGCCTGCTGGCCACCAGGGAGAAGGCGAATGTAGAGGCGGCTCTCGGGTCCTTTATCGAGATGGCCCAGGCTGAGGTGCGAGAGCCAGGGATGGGTTCTGGTGGGCAGGGGTCAAGATGGGGGTGATAGCCAAAGTGCCCCAGTGTCCCACTCACGCTTCCGCGCGTGTGCAGAAGGACAGTATCCCTGTATTGCTGGCCATGGCACAGGCCTACATGCTACTGAAGCAAGTCCCCAAGGCTCGCACGCAGCTGAAGCGCCTCGCCAAGGTCCCGTGGACGCTGGATGAGGCCGAAGACCTGGAAAAGAGCTGGCTTCTGCTAGCTGACATATACTGCCAAGGCGGCAAGTTCGACCTGGCCTCGGAGCTGCTTAGCCGCTGCCTCCAGTACAACAAGGCAAGGATCCACTGGGATGGGAGAATAAGGGAGGTGTGAGCATGGTGGGAAGAGGTGGAGTCAGAGGGGAAAGAGGTGGAGTCAGGGGGAAGAGGTGGAGTCAGGGGGAAGAGGTGGAGTCAGGGGGAAGAGGCGGTGCCAGAGGGGCAAGTCAGTGACAAACCTGGAACCAGGAGCCACAGGTCAAGGAAGAAGATAGGATGCTAGAGGAGGGGCTTTCTATGAAGGGGTCGTGCCAGCTTTTGAGTAAGGAGTGGGTACACAGTTAAACCCTCAAAATGTTGAGGGTGCTCTTGGGTGTCTCTGTGTACTTTGGGTTAATGGGGCTCACTGCCATCCCGTTGCCCCCTCCTGGTCCCAGCCTGAGGACCATGGTGGCTGCTTTGGGGCAGGCAGACATGCTCACTGGCTTTCCCTGCAGTCTTGCTGCAAGGCCTATGAGTACATGGGTTTCATCATGGAAAAAGAGCAGTCCTACAAGGATGCGGCCACCAACTATGAGCTGGCCTGGAAGTACAGTCACCAAGCCAGCCCTGCCATTGGTAAGACAACAGGCCAAGGTGCCCGGGGGCTAGTGCCCAAGTCCCACATCCTGGCGGTTGGCAGAGCCCGAGGGCTCCCCCTTACCAAGGCATCCTCCCTACCTCCGGACAGGTTTCAAACTGGCTTTCAACTATCTGAAAGACAAGAAATTTGTGGATGCCATCGAAGTCTGTCACAGTGTAAGTCGTCAGCACAAGTGGGATGGTGCAGGAACCCCCTGCCTGGTTCCACACGTCTGCTCTATCTCTGTACCAGGTCCTGACGGAGTACCCCAATTATCCCAAGATCAGAGAGGAAATTTTGGAGAAAGCCCAAGGGTCCTTGAGGCCCTAGCTGTGCCTGGAGAGGGCTTGAGCCGGTAGAGGTCACCAGTCTATACACACTACGTGGGGGAGAGCAGGAAGTGCCCCGGTGGAGAAAGAACTGGGAAAATGACATATTCTCGCCATTTCTGTATTGTCTGTGCTTTATTTGGACTCATGCCTCATCTGGCCTGAAGGTGTCTAGAAGCTTTATGTCTTTAAGGCCTAAGAAGCAACTTTCCCTGGGGCTCTCTGGCCCCTTCCTCATGGAGCTCACTTTTGTTCCAGACTCTTGAAGAAGCAGAACAAAGAGATCTCCCAGTAGAGCGGTGGCTGGGAACAAGCACCCGAGAGCTATTTCAGAGTGTCCCCTGCCCCAATATCTCCCAGTATCTCGGAACTAGAGAAGCAACTACCCCTCCCTACCAGGATGTCCACTGAGCCTGCCCTGGCAGTGGGCTCAGACCATAGGACCACCTGCAGAAGGGCCTGAACTAAGACCCTGTGCAAGAGGGTCAACAGATTATCAAGGCCCATTGTCTTCATCCACCTCCCCCAAGCTGGACCTCACATGGTAGGGACAAATCACATTCTCACCAAGCCACATCCAGCCCCTGCAATCACCACACTCTGGATTTTGTGAAAGATACTGGCCAGCCAGCTCTCCTTCTAGGAACCCATTTAATGCCTGAGCGGGCAGGCGGCAGGTGCAGTGCAGCGGTCCCTATTCAGATGCTAAGATCATTTTACCTGGTAAGAGAACTCACCTTTGCTGGGTTCCCAATACACCTCTCCCTGTTTCTCAGGATGGAATTATGGGTCAGTCCAGCCTTGGGGGAATGGGGGGAAGCAGGGACTCTGAACTGGGTATCTGGAGGCCCCTCCCACGTGCTCCACTCTAAGATCAGGGCAGGGGATGTGACTTAGCTGGTGGACCCCTTGTTCAGTGTGCATGACGTCCTGAGTTTGACACCCCCCCCCAGCACACATAAGTCACACCTGGAACCCCAGCACTTTGGAAGGTCAAGCTCATCCTAACTGAGTGATCTTGGGCTACGTAAGACCCCATCTCAAAAAAGAAAGACTCCATCTCCCGAATTTTGCATCATCCTTTGCCAGTAATATCTAGAAAATCATTTATTTATAATGGGTTGGAAGTGAGGGTGTCATGACCCCCAGGAAGACACAGTACCCCTGAACTCATCTTCTACCCTTAAATTGAGTAATGCTGTGCTTACCCATGTTTACTGCTAGCTAGCACAACAGTTAGGAATTCTTGGGTGCTGTTGAAAAGGATAGGTCTCAGCTGGTAGTGTGTGCCTTTAATCCCAGCAACATTTAGGAGGCAGAGGCAGGTGGAGCTCTGAACTGAAGGCCAGCCTGATCGACAGAGTGAGTTCCAGTGAGTGAGCTACCACACAGAGAAACCCTGTCTCCAAAAAGAAGAAAAAGGATGGGCTTCCCTTTTAAGCATATTGCTATATTCTAAAGAAAACTTCCAGGCCAGCCCGGTCTGCATAGGGAGTTCCAGGCCAGCCAGGGCTCTGTAGCTGGTTGCAGTCTCAAGACCAAAGACTGGAGCTGGTAAGACAGCTCAGCAGATAAAGGTTCCTGTCCCAACTCTGATGACCTGACTTGAATCCCTAGGTCCCATGTAGTGGGAAAGAATCAATTTGCACAAGTTGTCCTCTGACCTCCGCACAAGAATTGCGGCATGCGTAAGCTCGTGTTTATACAGAAAATAAAAAGAGTGGCTGAATTAATGAATAAAGCAGTCTCAAAATAAAGGCCTCAGTGTGGGTAGAACGTAGATGTGTGGTGGCGGTGGATGACCTACTATCCCAGCACTGGGGAGTGGAGATTAACATCACCGTCCACAACAAAGCAGGTACAACCTGGGCTACATGAGACCTTGTCTCAGAGGGGGAGTGTGTGTGTGTGTGTGTGTGTGTGTGTGTGTCGGGACAACTTCCTATAATCCCAGGATTTGGGAGGTAATAGCAGGAGGATCAGGAGTTCAAGGTCACCCTCAGCTACCTGACAAGAGAGTTTTAGACCTTTAGTTGCCTGGATGGCTGCTAAATCTTGTTTTCCATCTTTCTTCCGGTGCTGGAGCTAGAACCCAGGGCCGTGAGGGTGCCTGACTGGTACTCCATTGTGCACTCCAGCCCCGGCCTTTCTGTAACACTGCTGACCATGTGCATAGATCTAGAATGCTACCTTCTCTCCGATAGGGACGATCAGGTCCTTTTCCTCTGCTGTTTGACAACAGTGTTGTTGGGACACGTTTATTAGGCGGTCTGTGTTTGAGTTTTGGGAGCATGCTGCTGTAAGAGACTGATGTTAATCATATTTTTTCTGTCTCCATTTAAACAAAACTCCCAGAACTGACCCTGTGACCCTAGATGGGAATTAAAGGCCTCAGTCTGAGCTGAGCAGGGACGGAGTCTGTGGAGGAGCCTTCTGAGAGTGCCTGCTCAGAAGAGACACAATGCTGCATGCAAGCACCATCTCTGCACAAGGGTCTCCAGGCCCTGGTGATGGAAGGGGCGAGGAGGTAGGTCAGAACGGACCAGGAGACTCTACTCTGAGAAGTTAATACGCTTAAAGCCAGTATGCGGGCGGTGATCCAAGCCCTCAGGCCGCAGTGGCACATGCCTTTAATCCCAGATCTCTGTGTTCAAGGCCAGCCTGGTCTACAGAGCAAGTTCCACAACAGGCTCCAAAGCTACAGAGAAACCCTGTCTCAGGGCTGGAGAGATGGCTCAGTGGTTAAGAACACTGACTGCTCTTTCAGAGGACCAGATTCAATTCCCAGCACCCCACATGGCAGCTCACAACTGTCTAACTCAAGATCTCTGACACCCTAACACATACATGCAGGCAAAACACCAGCGCAAAGAAAGAAAAAGAAAAGGTCAGAGAGAAACAGAATGGGTATCAGTGTGCTCACGGGCTTATACACACCACCGGCTTTCGAGCTGCTGCCCGGGTAGGAATGGAGCAGTCTGAGAGTAGTCACTGCACGGGATTGGAGAAACCCAGCAATCTGCACGGCCCCTCACCAGGGAGTGAGGCAGGTAGCACACAGCAGGGGGCTGGAGCATAGACAGGGGTGCCTGCGGTCATTCCCTGGAGGACTGTGCAAGTCCCTTCAAGCTCCAGACTGGGGTTCTCCAGAGCAAGGCGCAGCCAGGCCTGCACCGCTGGCCTAAGGCCTATTCTGGCTGACTTGGGACAGGTCTAACAGGTCTGGCTGGTAGAGACACTTCCGGAGCAAGCGCAAGTCCCCAGGGACTACAGCTGCCGAGCCCTGTCACCAGGCCAGGCCTCCCCTAGCCACATCTTACTGCCCTGCCCTTCCTGGACCAAGACAGTAGCTTCTGGGCCAGGGCCCAGACCAGTGTGTATGTATGCAAAGGAGGGTGCCCTTCCCCAGCCTAAGCGACAATTCTGCTGCCTTACAATTCCCTGCTGTGGCCCAGACGGCACTGCCGAGGAATGGGTTAACGCAGAAGGAAAACTTCCATTTGCCCAGCCAACCTCTCAGTTGGCTTTCTGCCTCTGGGCTGACTGGCCCGCCTGGAAGGAAGCCCAATGTGCTGGTCCTGCCGCATCAGCACGGCCAGCCGCTGTCCATGCTACCCTGCAGTGCCCTGCCCCACTGCTTCCTGGGGGTGCACCATGCTCCCCACCCCACCACAGAGACCACACTTAAAAATAGAGCGTCTTTATTGGTACCTGTGCTCAGGTACAATGTGTTCCCACAAGCACACAGGCTGGCAAGGCCTCCTGGGCAAAGAGCAGGGCCTGAGCCTGTGTCTCTTGGCACACACACACATACAAAGAAATGAATAAATTATAGTTCTGACACTTAAGAGACAATATAAAAATGCATACAAAATCCAACATCAGCTAATGAAGGGCATAAAAGCCCTCAACAAGAGCCACCCCCTGCCAACTGGCCGAGGGGCACATGGTGGGCAAAGGGTGGAGTTCAGTGCCCAGAAAGCCCTGAGACAGTGATGGGGCGCACTTCGGGGTGCGCTTCATGCCCTGAGGCAGGCCCGTTGCCCCCTCCTTGGGGCCTCTGGCTTCCCATCCTACAGGAATGGGCTCTATAACCCATGGCCTTGGGGGAAAAAGGAACCGGGCACAGGACAGTAGTGGCCAGGCAGGGGCAAAAGAGGTTTTTGGTCAAGGCTGGTGCAGCGCACACCCTCAGCTCAGGAGCCAGGCAGCTGACTGGGTAACAGGCTCAAACCCACGCAGACCACACCAAGGCCCAGGCAGGCAGCGCACACTGAAGGGGCTCTGCCCCAACACTGCCCACCTGCCAGAAAGGCTCGACCACTGATGCCGCCCGCAGTCCCCAAATAAATTACAGGAATAAATTACATCTTCACAGTCCAGAAGATCTAGTTCCCAGGCTTCAGAGGAACCCATAAGCCTCTGCTCTCAGCCCTATTGCTGTCTTGGGACAAGGAACCTATCACAGTGCAGAAAGACAGTTCCTGAGGCTCCAGGAGAGCCCTGCCCCTCTTCCTCCTTCTGGAACACGCTGGGAGGTGGAAGACCTCTGTTTGAATACAAAGAGACCAGGCATTGAAAGAGGGACACCCCTCCCTGCCCTCTCTTTAATACAGAATAAAAAAAATAAAAAAATAAATAACTTCAGAGTGTTAATGTAAAAATAAGAGGGTGCATTCAGCACCCATGGCCAGGACCAGCCCACGGGAGACCGTTACATACAAAGACCTTGGGGAACCCCAAAATCACACAAAAAGCAGCAACAGGGCTCTGGGGGCAGGGAAATGGCACCTTGGTCCTTACACTGGCACAGGCTCCACCAAAGGTGCCAAAGCAGTGTCCTCAAACTGGCTCTCCAGAAGGGGTGCCAGGACATCGGGAACCGGCTCTGAGAGGCCTATGAGCGACTCCAGGAAACAAGAGCTGGCATCTCTTGGAGGAGAGAAGCTGGGCAAGGGGTGGAGGGCCTCAAGGCTGTCCTGGCTGCCAGATACCCTGCGGGAAGTATAGTGAGGACCCAGACTATAGTCCGGCAGAGCCTGGAGCAGCTCAAAGGAGTCACAGGAGGATAAGCTGAGGTCCCAGGAGCCACTCTGAGCGGCCTCCACCCCAGGGGACCCAGAACCGCCAGGGAGACTACCTTCCCTCAACCCTTCAAGTCCACTGTTCAGGAAGCAGCTGGCGTCCAGGTTGGCATTCTCATCCAGGATGCCCGACGCAAGGCTAGAGTAAGACTGGCTGTGAGTCCAGCTGGCCAGGCTGCTGGGGTCACCGGCACCAAAGATGTCAGCCAGATGGAAATAGCTGAGGTTATCCAAGTTACCCACACCCCTTTCCTCCTCCTCCTCTTCCTCCTCAACACCGAGGTCAGAGTCACTGAAATTCAGGATCTGCACCAGGCTGTCTTCATCCACGCCAGACCTGAAGCTGGGACCCGGCAGGCTGGGGCCGGCGAGGTGGTCTGGAGGCTCGCTGCCGCCGGAGGATGAGGACGAGCATGCGGAAGAGTCAGTCATGTCACTGCTGCAGCTGTTTTCTACCAGCTCACTGCTCACGGGGGGCTTGGCCAGAGGAAACGGGGAAACCAGGGCTTGATCAACGGGGCTGTCCTGGATGGGAGACTCCAGGTCCCCCAGGCTCTCAGCACCCTGTTCCATCTGCAGGCGGGTGAGCGTATGGATGAAGTGTGTCTGAACTCTTGCCTGATTGAATTCCACACGGCCATTGGGGTTCTCACAGCCCTCACTGCAGCAGCCACAGGGGAAGGATGTGTGATCCATCTGCAGAGAAAGACAACGCACAAGTCAGGACTCAGCGGGTGCTAGAAGCCCGCTGGCTCAGCTCCCCACCCCACCAAATCCAGTAGGCTCTGCTTTTTGTTTTGTTTTGTTTTGTTTTTTTTTTTTTTTTGAGACAGGGTTTCTCTGTGTAGCCCTGTTCAGGTAGGCTGTATAGGAATTCACTCTGTTGACCAGGCTGGCCTTGAACTCTGAGATCCACCTCCCTCTGCCTCCCTAGTGCTGGGGTTGAAGGCATATGCCACCAAGGCCTGGCTTGAAACAGGGTCTCACTGTGTAGCCTTCGCTGGCCTAGAACTTAGTATGTATAGACCTGGCTGGCCTTGACTTTACAGAGACCCACCTGCCTCTGCCAGTATTAAAAGTATGCGCCACCATATTTGGAGGATTTTTTTTTTGATGGTTTTGTTTAGGTAGTGGGGGTAGGGATTTAACCCAGAGATCTTGAACATAGAAGGCATACCCCCCCCCCATTTTCCCCAGTCCAGCTGCACACCTGGCATTTGATCCCGGCCAGGCTACAACTGCAAGTCTCGGGGTCACAGACTCCATCACAGCGACAGCCACAGTCCTCCCGCGACTGGCGCAGCGCCTGCAGCTCCCGCTTCTCTTCTCGGTCGATCCTTCGGACACCCGAAGCACGAAGCAGGGCCCGTCGCTGCCGAGGTGGATGGGGCTGCAGGAAATTCACTTCCTCCAAGCGGCCACCCGCTACAGCCACTGCCAGGTCGTCCTCCACAGAAGCGTCAGGGATGGCGTCCGCCGTGAGGGGCACGCCTGCCCCTGTCTCTGGAACTCCAGCCACGGAAAGCTACGCACACAGGAAGGATGCAAGAGATTTAACAGATGTGTCAACCATGTCGTCCTAGGTCAGACACAAAAGCCCTACTCTAACCAGACACACACTAGCAATGTCAGCTCTGTCTCCAACCCTAGGAAGGCTAGAACAACTCAAGCATTATGCTCCAGGCCTGACCCTCTGAAACTGCCTACTTTTCTTTTGACAGGGCCTTGGCCTCAAACTTGCTAGGTAGCTGAGGATGACCTTGAACTTCTTACTCCTCAGCTCCCACCTCCCAAGTTCTGCACCAGGATGCCTGGTTTATGCGGTGCTGGTAACAGATACCAGGACCTCCTATACATTGGGCAAACATTCTATTTGCCCGAGTTATAGCCATAGTCCTTGAACCCTCTCCGTACACCTCCCCTGACACCGAGCATGTGCAGACCGACTCCATGGGTCTCCATACCTTCCACCTCAGCGTCTCCAGCTTCTCCTCCTTCAGCCGCTGTCGGAGCTTCTCACGCCGAGCGCGGACCTGCTCCTGTGTAAACTCAGCTAAGGAGAACAGGCGGCAGGTGCTGTGGCGAGGAGCCATGCCCAGGGTGCAGCCACCACGGCTGGGCACACTGGTGAATCCCTGGCACCGTGGGAAATAGTAGACAGTGATGCCATCGAAGGTCACGCGACCGGGACGTTCCCGCGGAGCCCGCTTCAGGATAGATGGGGCTGGAAGGGACAACGAGGCAGAAATAAGTTCTCCGTGCGGTATCATTTCTAGGAAGATGCTTACCCCGCCATTCCCTCCACCCAGAGGCCTGGGTGATCTGGAGAAACTGAAGGTGGCACCCAAGTCAACATTGGCATTAAGCACCCTGCCATCACTATCAACCAATTACAGATCCTCTGTACAGTTTTCTGTAATTTTTGTGCATTTGCTAAGCATTCTTTACATGTAATAAAGGCAATAATTCTGTGCTTAAATATATCGAGGCACTGAAGAAAAGGCTCAACAGTTAAGAGCATGGGCACCCACAGGGTTGCTCATAACCAACATAACTCCAGTTCCAGGGGCTCCGACGCCCTCTTCTGGTCTCCTCAGGTATAGCATGCACATGGTGTACACATGGTATTCACACACATAAAAAAAAAAAACTTATTGATGTTTTCCTTGATAGTTTAAGTGTTCTTCAGAAGACTTAATCTTTCTGTTTCTAAGTTATTGATTACATATTTAGTTGGCTCTCCCACCATGTGGGTTCCAGGGGTTGAACTCAGGTCATCAGGCTTGGGGGCAAGCACCTTTACCCGCTGAGCCACCTCGCTGGTACTATTTAAAAAGAAAAAAGCTTATTTACTTTTAATAAGTACATGTGAGTGTATGCCCTGCATGCAGGTGCCCTTGTTAGAAGGTGTCTGATCCCTAGTGTGAGAGGTACAGGTGACTGTGAGCCATCTAATATGGGTGCTAAGGTCCTCTTGTGGCCTAGAACCTGATACATACACCAGGTTGGCCTTGAACTCAGAGATCCGCGAGGCTTTGCCTCTCAGTGGTGGAATTAAAGGCATCCGCCATCACGTCTAACTTATAAACAAGTCTGCCCTGAGACTGGTTCTACACAGGAGACCTTGAATCCAGCCACGGCAGGGTACTTCTATAATCCCTGTACTATGGAGGCAAGTTGGAGGACAACTTGGGTTATAAGGGATTCTCTCCTCAAGACTGGGGGGGGGGGGGGGAGAAACGGACTGATCAGGAAGAACCCTTCAGAAAAAAGCTAAAAAGCAGTAAAACAAGAGGGAAGTGGCTCAGCAGGCCATGTGCACAGGGGATAGGAGATGCAGGACCAACTCCAGCTGGGTTCCTGGGAGGGCAGGTCTACTGGGAAACTAGAAAGGCAGCAGAAGACAGCCCCTTAGGAAGGCCTCAGAGCCCCAGGACTCCCAAGGTCAAAGGGAAGTCAAGGCAGGCCCAGGTGTCTCTGGCTAGGAGGAAGTAGGAGAGGCACCCCAAGGCTGCAAAGGGCAATTTCACCTTTGGAGAAGGAAAGGGTATGTGTGTGGGGAGGGGCTCCCAGGATGGAAGACTCACGAGTGAAACTCTGGAGGCCACTGGAGTCCTGATCGGGCCGGAGTGCCTGACCACATAGTCCCTCCTCATCTGAGTTCCAGGCAGGGAAGACAGAAGAACTGGGGGAGGAGGAGAAAGAGAAACTGCCAGAGGAGGAGGAGGAGCTGAAGAAGTCGTCTTCTAGCTGGTCAAACTTCCTCTTCAGTACCCCAGCCATGGTGGTACGGAGGGGCTCTAGGAGCGGAGGACAGATGACCTGGAAAGAGAAGAGACCTCTGAGCGGCAGGCTCCCAGCCTAACCATGCTTTCCCATCCTGGTTCACCTCATGGTGTACCCCAAACTCCATCTGGGCCCTCCAGTCCTGCCAGAAGCTTCAGGCTCATGGTAGGCTCACCAGCAGGGTCTTCAGAACCAGAACCAGACAACATAGCACCTCTCCATCAAATGACTCTAATCCCAGAGACTTTGACCTCCCAAGACCTGGCCCTGATAGCAAGCCTTCTCGGGAAAATAGCCGGGTACCTTCCCACTTACACACACACACACACACACACACACACACACACACACACGCTGCAGCGCATGCACCACCAGCAGCCAGGTACCTTCCCACTGCCTCCTACACACACACACACACACACACACACCAACAGAGCCAGAAGGCAGACAGACTGACAGATGGACTGACAGAACTCAGCCTGCCCTGGCTCATCCTCCCAGGAATCCTGGAGGCTGACTCACAGGCACTCGGGTCTGTGTGCCTTTGTGTGCTGTGTGCAGGGCTTCTGCAGCGGCCATCTGCACAGCCTACCTCTAAGGGCAGCGCTCCTCCACTGCACAGGCCTGCCACCTTGCCCACTGACTGCCAGGCTGACTAGGCACTCTGGGAGTAGCCACTGGGTTTGACATTGGCTCCACTCCAGGCAGAAGGACTTCCCCAAGCCCCTCCCCTCCCCAGGATGGAGCTTCTTAGAGTTTCCCTCAGAAAGTCCCATGCCACAGGAGAAAAAGTCCCCTGCTCTAGGCTGGACTTCAGGCAGGATACTTTGATCTCAAAATTCACCTATGTTTTGCCTTCTACTCTAACATGGTTAATTCTCCTTAAAACAAAACAAAACCTCTAATAGTGAGACTGACCCAGAAAGCTGCAATCCAAGCCTCCCTTACTTGTCGGTGGCTTTTCTGGACCTCTGGCAGGGTGCGGTCACTCACCAGTCAGGCTGGGGGGGTGAGGGGGTGAAAATGCCTTCCCTAACTCCCAGGGCTTGAGCCAGTAATAGTCCCTCCCTCCAGGACTTGGGGACCAGAGAATGTGGGCTGAGGGAAGCTACCTGCTGCGTGACTGACTGGCTAGAGTCCTGTGGAACTCACTCCTTCAGGGCTGAATGGCCACAGCTGGGACCCCTCCCCCAGCACCATCACAGGAAGTGAAAGGGGCAGGGAAGCTGTAAGGGTCTGCTCCACTGAGGTGTCTGTCATTCCTACGGTCGCATGCCCTACCCCAAGCCTTCCTGCAAGCCCCTGATCTGAGGGCACCAGCTGTCAGCCCACTCAGTGGATAAAAGTACTCATGGAAGGGACAGCCTTCTCCTCCATGGTAGGCATGGGAGAACCAGGCCAAGACCCCACCCTGGACCTGGGGGAGAGAGGATGACAGGTGTTTCCGGGGCAGCTTCTCAGCCTTGGCTACCCCCCTTCCCAGAGTCAAACCGCAAACACAAACAGCTCGGTTGACCTGTAGGCTCTCCCAGGAGATGTTTGGGCATGAGCCAGGCACCCTGACCACAGACACACTCATACACACAAGCTGACAGGCAGCCCCTAAACATCCTGTCATGGCCACCACCACAGTCCAAAGCGTGGGACACCACACACACACACACACACACCATCCTTTTCTCTAATTCCAGGTGCTGTCCATAAGACAAAAGGTCCATCTCCTGGAAATACATAATTCCCAGGCCCCAAATTGAACCCTGTCTGTTCCCCATCCCCCATGCCATCTGTTCCTCTTCCTGTGTTCCCTGTCTTAGTAACAGCACTACCACCCACCCAGTTGCTCAAGCCAGAAACCTGCAGCCACCCCTCCCCAGTCCTCCCCCACCCCTCCTTGCACCCACACCCAGGCAGTGCTCAATCCTGGAGTTCACACAGGCCAGGCAGAGATTCTGGAGGTATCCTAGTGGCTAACCAGTGCCAGAATTCGCTGGCTACATTTGAACCCTGGCCTGGTTATTGGCTGGGCCATCCTGGGCTAATTCCTTAACATCACTGTCTCCAATGGTCTTAAGTCCCCAGATGCCAGGCAGGGCGGTGCACACCTGATATCCCAGCACTTGGGAGGTAGAGGCAGGAGAATTAAAGAGTTCAAGATCAGCCTCAGCTATGAGATACAGTGTCTCAAAGCAAAGAAAGCAAACTAGAACCTCTAGGACTGGGAGGTGTACAAGAATCAATACCCGTCAAGTTCTCTCTCAGTGATTTGTGCTCATTGAGTGTGCAAAAAATAATCGGTTCTAGGACTCATGAGACTAAACACAGACGAGCGAATGCACCAAGAAACATGGACCAAGATTATCAGAAAGTAGAACCAGTCGGTGGGGACTCCAATTGTCTCTGCCCTCTCCACAGCCAGGCTAGAGAAGCCAGCAGGAGTGTGTACTGCGGACAGTTGTGCAGGGGTCCTGGGAGAAGTATGGGAAGATTGATGTTCAAGGTAGTTTGTGTGGGAATTAAATGTTTTAAAAATCCTCTAGCTGTATTTTTTATATTCCTATACTCTGTGTGTGTGTGTGTGTGTGTGTGTGTTTCTATGCAGGTCACTATCTATCAAAATTTGGGCTGATGGTATAGCTCCGTGGTGAGGTGCTTGTGCAAAGCCCTGAGCTGGCTTCTCGACACAAGTGTGTAGTTTACCACCTGTTCCATGTCTCTGCCCCACCTGCTACCACCCATCCCTCTCTTGAGCCGCCCTAGACCCCACAACCAGGGTAGAATGAAGACACTACCTTGCAGGCCCCATGCTGAGCAACACTCTGTAGTTCCTCACAGGGCCCTGTCCCTGCCAACCTCCTTGGCTTCTGCACAGACTGGAACAGCCCAGCCTTACATCCTTCCAGAAGCCACAGCTTGAATCTATAAAGTCCCAGGTGAGGCATGAGAACTGCCTGGAGTTTCAGGCCAAACTGATTTACAGAGTAATAAGACCCCCTCCCCCAAAAAGGCATCTCCAAACAAACCTCAAAAGCTCCCCACTTCTGCCTTTTCAGGGGTGCTGCTATGGACAGAACACTTTCCAACAAAAATACTCCTCTACTGAGTATCCTGAGTAAGAAAGGGTCTCCTGTAGCCCACGATGGTCTCAATTCCTCATCTCACTCCCAAGTGCTGGGTTAACAGACATACGCTGTCACACGGACCTGCACCTCTGAGGGCCAGGGATACGGCTCAGCTATCTGGCCCGCATGAAACCCTAGGTTCAGTTCCTTAAAGAAGAGAGTGGCTGGAGGGCGATTAGGAGCACCGGCTTCTCTTCCAGCAGCCTGGGATTCAATTCCTAGCACTCACATGCGGCTCACAACCATCTGTAACTCCAGTTTCAGGGGATATGACACCCCTTCTTGCTTTCAAAGGCATCAGGCATATACATGACACACAGACCTACATGCAGGCAAAACAGTCACACACAAAAATTAAATCATTCTTAAAGAGATGGAGGACCTGTCCCTCTATTATAAGGAAACAGTAAGATAGTGCCCATCTACAGATCAGGAAGGGGGCCTACGCAGGTTGGGGCCTTGATTTTGGATGCCCCAACCGCCGGAAATAGAAAAATGTCTTTTGTAGGCGGTTCAGACTGGCTGAAATGGCTCAGAGATCCTGGATTTTCCTCAGCGCTCTCTCCTTATCTAACCACAGTGTAACGGCCTCCCTCACCCCAGCCATTAGTAAACCTGGCCCCAAACAAGCGGTCAGGGCAGTCCTTTGCCCACAGGTCTCCGTGTGACTTTTTCCTGCTCCTGAAGGCTAATTTAAGGAGGGGACACATGTCCATCCCCCAGCCAGGGTCAGAGCTCAGTGTTCAAAGGTGGCTTTGAGGGCAGGGGAGAGAAGCTCACTGGGGCTGCAGGCAAGGGTTAGATGGCATCTCAGAGGCTCCCGTTCCCCATGAGTAAACAGACAGATGTCAGGGAGGGAGGTGCAGCCCGGACCAGGGCTCCACAGTCAAGTGTATCCAGATAAGAACTAAGGCCAAAGAGTGTTCACATCCAAAGCTGTGAACATCCCAGAAAGGTTAGGCTGTGCTCCAGGCTGGACCTCTGGCTGGGTCTGAGCAGAGGGAGGGCAGGAGGGAAGGGGTGGGGTGCCACCTGGGATCCAGAGGCTGACAGGAAGAGGCCAAGTCAGTAAAGGGAATGGAAGATAGCTAAGGAGTGCAAGAAAAGTGCCAGACAGTGAGTCAGGGCGTGGGGGAGGGGCCGCGGCAGCTACTCAGGAATCAAGATCCCGTTCCCAGGGTGAGCAGAGTCCTGTCCTAGGGACCTGGAGGAAGGAAAAGCCATTCCCAGGAGCTGGCTCAGACAGAGACACCACACTCCTGAGAGCACCACAGACAGGCCCCGGAATCAAAGAGAACCAGGCTCCTTCCGGGATGGCAGCAGCCTGAGAATCTGGGGCCTCCCCCTTCCTGCCACCACACACAGGCACTGACAGCCCAGAGAACGGAATGTCACCCCAGGCTATTGACCACAGCTATCTAGTACTCTGAATCCAGGGAAGGCTATTCCACCCCACAACCAAGGGGCAGCTGTGGGAAGCCTCAGCCCACCGATGTGCCCCAGCCCCCAGCCAGGGCTGGTACTTGGGAGGGGGCACCTCGAACTACCTCGATCCCCCTTCCAGGAATCTGAAGAATGTGTCCTTTGACCTCAGAACCCCAGGTCCTGATCAGTCATGCTCCCACCCCTGACACCTTGGGTCACAGGACCCCAGACCCTCCTGGAGGACTTCCTGGGCTGCGGAAAGATCACTTCGGAGCCGTTTTGGACCTCGCAGAAACGAAGTGCAGGGCAGCTCAAGACAGGGCAGACAGGAAGCACACTGACATGCCCCTCCCCCACTGGTGCCTCTGAAAGTGATCAGGGGGGGGAGGGGACAGTTCTTTCGATTCAGCCTCGAGGGCCCTGCACTGGGTAAATGCCAAATGTTTGCAGGCTATATGAAATACTTGGTTCTTCTACCCAGGGAAAATTGTATCTGACAGTTAGTGCTTCCTCTGCCTTAAGCCCGTTTTTCTCATTCATTCATTCATTCATTCATTCAATCAAATTCTTGCTAAGTTTCCAAAAGACGCCAAGCATTGTGGGCAGACACTTGGTGCACAAGGGAAGAAGACCTACAGCCAACATCTCTCAAGCTGGAGTTACAGGAAGGGTACAACTGGGGACCCTGTTGCAGGTCCCTCTGAGGAAGGGACGTTGGCAGATTTCCAGAAGGGACGCAGCACGGTCCAGGGACTGGAGCAAGGACAAGAAGCGCGCCTTCTGGTGGAGTTGCAGTTAAGAGGGCTTGTGTTAGCCCGAGGGCACAGGAAGCCACCCAAGGGTGTTAAGCAGGGACCGACAATTCTAGATTTGCCAGGCTAAAAGGCGGCTCAGCACCTCTGAAGGAGAGGGTGTGACCCGCACGACACACAGGGCAGGGCCAGGTGAACTGACAGGACAAGGGCCGAGGAGAAAAGGGGGTGGATTCGGTGACAGCGGGAGGGATGGGGGCGGGGTTGTCAAAGATTTGGGGGCAGGGAGTGCAGACTTACTCCCGGCCAAGGGGCTGAGACTTCGGGCCGGAGGTGTTGGGTGGGCAGCCCGAGCGCAGGGTCGGATCCTCTGCTGTCAGGAATGTGGGCTACGTCTAAGAGTGACTGTACCGGCAACCCGAGTGACTAAGTGTGTGGCTGTTGCTGTGGTGTGGGCATTTCTACAGGACGTGAAGAAGGCGAGAGGGCCCCCGGGGAGGGGAAACTGAGGAAGGGGAGGAAATGCTTGCAGAAGAGGGAATAGAAGTGCGTGGGAGAGAGCCTACGAGTGCCCGCGGGTGGCCGGTGGAGCTGCGCCCCGTGACTCACGGCAGTGGCCTCTGCGTGTGACGGTGACAGGTGAACGTACGACACAATCCTCCGCCCCCCTCCTTCCCTCCCTTGCCTCCCGGGGTCCGTGACTCACCGAGCCTCACTCATTCCTACTCATCCCTCCACGCCCTCCCTGACCCCCGCCTGCCGGGGGCGCCCGGCACACGCCGCAGCTCCGGCACTCTCGCCCCCCCTAGGGAGCCCGAGGAGGAAGACGACCAATGTCACCTGCCCTGGCCACGCGAGTAACTTCTGAAAAGTTCTCAGGCAACTAGGTCAAAAGGAAACTCAGCCGCCGGGCACGCGCGCCCCGTCCCTCTGCCACCTGCACCCGGCTTTGGGGCGCCTGGGCATCTTGGGGTAACAGCAGCGGGGCGGGGGAGGGGAAGGGAAGCCTGGGGCTACCCCCCCCCTCGCAGCCGTGGGCTCCCACCGGGGGTGCGCGATCTGCAGCCGGGCTAGGCGTCCGGATCCCGGCGGCCCCTCGGGAGGACCCAAGATAAGCAAAAGAGGTCGGAGTGACAGCGCCACTCGGGCTGAACGACCCCTGCCCCAATTCCCTGCCGGTCGCGTTTCAAGGTCCCCGGCGCTTACCTGCGCTGCCAATGCTCGCCAAGGACGCCGCGGCCACCCTCGTCCCCGTCCCAGGGTCGCAGCGCGCGCAGAGACCCGCAGTGCGCTCGGCCGGGCGGCCGTCGGTGCAGCCGAGCCAGGTCTGCGCGTCCGGCCGCAGCGGCGGGAGAGACTGGCTGAGCCCCGGCCCCGCCCGCAGCTCCGCCCTCCTCGTCAGTGGAAAACTCCGGGGCTCACGGCGCTGACGCACGCCGGGCCTCCCGCCAGGCCGCCCCGCAGCCCGCAGCTCGCGCAGCCCGCGGCCCCGCCCCGGAGGCGCCGCCCCCTCCCCCGCCCGGAGCCTCCCCGCGGACTCTGACCCGGCCGCGGCGCCGCTGCTCCGCTCCTCTGATCGCCGCCGGGCTCCGTGCAGAGCCAGGTCCTAGAGATGCCCGCCCGCCTCTCGACAGTCCCGAGCTGCAGACTGGGTAGACTGAGGCTGCGAGCGAACGGAGGGAGCTCCTCCCCCACCCTGCCTCCGCCCGCCCGGGGCAGTTTATTACCAATCCAATTCAAAGACCCTTCCCTGGCCCCCACCCTACCCGTCTCATTCCCAGATCCTGCAGAAAGGGAACCGAGACAGGAGACTAACCAGGGATGGAGAAGAGAGGGCGGAAAAGGTCGTCTCAGGGCCTGGCGCCTGGCCTTCACCTCTGCCCTCGGGCCAGAGCCCCTACTCCCGAACAATACCTAAAGCAGAGATTGCTGGAACCAGCTCCCCCGCCCCCATCCCTCTTTTAAACACAAAAAATAATTTGGTTTCCCCTAGGCCGGACCCTAGCCATTTAGAGCGGCCTGCTACCTTCTCTGCTCCCGCCAAGACTGTCCCTAGGCTCGCAGCCAACTGCCTGTCCTACTGGGCAGAAGAAAGTGTGTTCTAGCAGGCAGCTTCAATATCAGGAGCCCACCCTAGTCCTCGGCCCACGGCAGGTCCGGTACCTAGAGCGTTTTCGGGCTTGGAGTCTGTCTGCACCGCCTGGAACGTTCCATCCTCTCTGCTCTCACCTGAGGGAATCCCAGCTATGCCTAGGAGGGCTCGGCGTGTACTGCCTCCTCCGGGAAGCCTTCGTGGAAGCTTGACCCTCCCCCCCCCCCTCAGCCCGGCTCCCGCTGCATTCTGGGTTCTTCAGAATGTCCTAGATGAATGTTGTCAGTGGCTAGTCCAACCCTCAGGATTCCTTTCTCCCCTCCCCCGGATGCGGTAGGGGAGGTGACCTTCTTTCCCTCCTAATTGGCTTCTAGGATGGAGATAACAGTAATGGTAGGGGCCCTTCTTTGGTCTTCAATCCTGGGTGTACATGTACAGACAACAAGCAAGGTTCGGGTATTCCCTTCACCTGTGGTAATCTGGGGTCTGAGGGGCAAATGAGATTCCTGACACACAACTTATATTGAAGCTGTGGTGGCTGGGGCTGCTCAGGAAATAGTCTGCCGGTCTAGGCGAATATGCAGGGGACTTGCCTGCCATCTTTTTTTTTTTTTTTTTGGTTTTTCGAGACAGGGTTTCTCGGTTTCTCTGTGGCTTTGGAACCTGTCCTGGAACTAGCTCTGTAGACCAGGCTGATCCGCCTGCCTCTGCCTCCTGAGTGCTGGGATTAAAGGCACGCGCCACCATCGCCCGGCATTGCCTGCCATCTTGAAAGCCCATTTGAGACCAGCCAACGTATATGAAACCTTGCTTCAAAAAGCAAACACGTAAACTGAGTGTGATGGTTTATATCCATAATCCCAGCACTCAGGAGGCAGAGTCAGGAGGATCTCTGAGTTCAAGGCCAGACTGGTCTAAAGAGCAAGTTCCAGGACAGCCAGGGCTACATAGAAAAACCTTGTCTAGGAGGAAGAAAAAAAAAAAAGAAAAAAAAAAGCATGGCCTAGCGTGGTGGCACACACCTTTAATCCCAGTACTCTAGACACTTTAATCCCAGCTTCTGAGGCAACCAGAGTTAGAGTCAAGCTCTGTCTGTCTCAAATCAAAAAGCAACAACAACACTACAGAACTGCACTCGAGTCTCTGCAGGTGACTGAGTGGTCGCAGAACTGTCCCTCAGGCCACACACACTTCCACTATCAGATAGTCAGCTGGGCTCACCCTGTGCCTGCTGATTTGCAGCCTTTGGTGGCCCAAACATCTTGGCTCCACCAGCCTTCCTACTTGTCACTAGAAAAAGGGTTTTTTGGTTTTGGTTTTTCAAGACAGGGTTTCTCTGTAGCTTTGGAGCCTGCCCTGGAACTTGCTCTGTAGACCAGACTGACCTCGAACTCACAGAGATCCACCTGCCTCTGCCTCCCGAGTGCTGGGATTAAAAGGTGTGCACCACCACCGCCTGGCAGCAGAAGGGTTTTTAGTCTTGGAGACATATCTGATGTATCCGAGTCTCGCCTAAACTCAAAGTGCAACAGAGGATGACTTTGACTTTTCTGATTCTCTGATCTCTACCACCTGAGTGCTGGGATGACAATCAGGTACCTGCATTCAAGATTTTAAGTAGTGCTGGGGATCGAACCCAAGGCCCTGCAGAGCACTCTGCCAGCTGAGCTACCTCTCCAGCCCAGAAAGGGCTTTGATGATGGCTGAGGTGTTGATCTATTTGCCAGCTCCTGTTTCCAATGCCTAAGATGGGAGTCCTGGACCAGAGAGCCCAGCCAGCTGCACATTCCTCGCCTAGGATTCTGCAAGATGCTGATGAGGGAGCTGGGCAAGGCTGGACTCTAGAGTTAATGAGGTTCTCGGGGCTACCCGGGTTTGCATCCTGCCGGGCTCTGTATCCAGGAAACCAGACGAGGCTGAAAGCAGGGCAGGGAGTTGGCACGGACTGCAGTGGGGGCTTAGAGCAGGGACCATGATGGGCGAGGGAGGGAGTCTGGCGAGCGGGAGGAGGAGGAGATTAAAGGGAAAAAATATATAATCAAATAAGTGATGTATTTTCTGCAGAAAAGCATTTCCCTGTCCTGGGATAGCTCGCCAGATGTTGCCCAGATGTTGCTGGTGATGGGGAAGCATCTCCCTCAGGGATCTCATCTGAACTCTTCCTGTTCAAGGGGAATGGTGGGTCTGTTCCAAGGCAGGCAGGGTGGGGTGTGGAGCACTCGTCTGTAACTATGGCATACACACACACACACACACACACACACACACACACACACTGTATAATGTGTGTGTGTGGTGTCTATGCAAGAACACCCACACACCAGGGAATTTCTGAAGAAAGTGGAGACCTGCAAGCTCTATATCTTCAGCATCTTGAGGACCAACCACCCAACCACCCATCCACTCATTTAGGTAAATTAAAATTATTGCAAATTTTTTTCTTTTTCTTTTCTTTTTTTTTGAGACTGGGTTCCTCTGTGTAGCCCTAGCTATCCTGAAACTCATTCTGTAGACCAGGCTGGCCTCAAACTCAGAGTTCTGCCTGCTTCTGCCTCTGAGCACTGGGATTGAAGGTGTGTGCCATCACTGCCTGACCTTATGTGGTATTCTCTTGATTGCATGGAGAAGGGCTTGAGGTAAAACAGCCCTTAGGAACATAAGTCACACTAGAAGCAGAGGATGTTGGGGCAGGAGATCTAACAGCAATCATTACTGACACAACTTTACTAGTGAGAAATTCAAGTCAAAGGAAGGAAGATGTCTTAGAGTTTGGCAGGTGAGTGAAGGTCTAATAAGATGTAAGGTGTGGTTGGTGGTCTCTGCCGGAGCAGGATCCAGGATCTGTGATCCATCACTGCCAAACTTTCTTCACCGCAAAGATGCCCTCTTGTAAGGCTATAGATTTGTAGACGATGGATCCTCGCGTCTCTGAGCCACAGTTGGTTGTAGAAGGAACTCAGGGGGTTCTTAATGACCCTTGGGAAAACAGACCGTATTCCTACCTCCTTAGGACCCAAAAACATTCCCTTCTGGAGATCTTCAACTTCATCTCTGGAGCAAGTTCTGACCTTCCCCATGGAGCTGTTAGTCCCTTTTAAAGGAACCCTCTAGATCCCCGCCCCCATCCCTCCACCCTCCTAGGACTCTAAGGAGCCAAAGGCAGAGCAGCAGAGATCCAGAGCCTGAGGGTTGAATCGGTAACCTGGGCAGACCCCCAGCAGCTCGTGAGATAGCAAGTACTCCAGAGCGCCTAGTCCAGCAGCCTTAAGACTCACTGAGCACTAATTCCAGAGGCTGCCTTTCAGTGTTAGTGGAAGGCTTGGGTGCGTATCACTGGCCTAGATCCGACGCTCAGGAGGTAGAACAGGAGGATCTTAGGGCCTTCCTCAGCTACATAGCAGTCAGAGGTGAGAAAAAAAGAAAAGGGGTTTTAGTTGAAGACAGGGTCTCACTATGCTGCCTAGTAATGTCTCACCTTCCTAGCTATAGCCCAGTTTTAAATGGGAAGACTTTGTGGTTAGTAACTTGCTGGGCATGGTGGCACTTGGAAGGCAGAGGGAACTCTGAATTCAAGGCCAGCCTGGTCTACAGAGCAAGTTCCGGGACAGCCAGGGCTACACAGAGAAACCCTGTCTTGAAAAATTAAAAGACAAAATAAAACAAAACAAAACCCTACCTATTGGTTTCTGGGTTTTCTGGGTCAAAGATTTTTGACAGATACTACCAAATCGCCCCCCGAAATTTCACCAATTTCCCTCACAAACGTCTTTGGGGTGGTTATTTCCCAACATCCTCCCTAGATCTAGGTGTCATCAAATGTACTGGTTCCTGCTACTCAGGCTGGAAACAGGAGTTTGTCAGTTTTGTTTCATCTTCTTAAACTCTTGTTTAAAGCTCCCTTAGCTCAAGCTGGATAAGCAGCCCTGGGGCCGAGCGTGAGTTTCTGATCCTCCTGCTTCCCCCAACCCCCCACTCCATCCCCCCCCACCCCCCACCTCCACCTCCCAAGCACTAGGATTACAGGCCCATTGTGCCGTATTCAGCTGCTGGATTTACCTAAGAGATCTTGGGTTGTGAGGGCTCTATCTCCATTATTGGATTCATAAATTTGTTTATTATTTACTTATTTAGTGCTGGGATTAAAGGTGGAGCCACCACGCCTGGCCCCTTTAGCCACTGAATTCCGTGGTTTAGGTATAGAAATGGAGTAATTCCCGTTATCATTTTCTCCTTAGTTAATTTTTTTTTCTGAGTTTGTTCTTGGTT